GAGCTCATCCTGAGGGCATTCACATCATTGCTGGGGATTTCAACAGAGCATGCCTAAAAACTGTGCTCCCCAAACTTTACCAACATATTAAGTGCCCAACCAGGGGAAAAAACACACTTGATCATGTGTATTCAAATATTAAGTATGCTTATAAAGCAAAACCTCTTCCCCACTTAGGACAATCAGACCATTTCACACTGCTTTTACTACCAGCCTACACCCCCCTTAGGAAAAGAACAAAACCTAGCAGTCAAGCTATTAGATGCTTGCCTGAAAATGGCCTCTTCCAGCTTCAGGACTGTTTTGCCCGCACAGATTGGAGCATCTTCAAACAACAGGACTTCGAGTTATACACAGAGACTGTGCTTTTCTACATGAAGACCTGCGTAGAAAATGTCACTGTGGGCAAACGCATACGGATCTTCCCAAACAGGAAACCCTGGATGACCAGCAAAGTCCGGACTCTCATCAGGGCCCGTGATCTGGCTTTTAGAGCAGGTGACACCTCACAGTACAGCACTGCCAGAGCTGACCTGAGAAGGGGCATCAAACATGCTAAGGAGATGTATAGGAGGAAGGTCGAGGGCCACTTTACTGACAGTGACCCATGGTAGATGTGGAGGGGGATACAGGCCCTGACCAACTATAAAGGGCAGGACCCAACAAACAGTCAGAGCAGCAGCACTCTGGCAGAGGATCTAAACAGCTTTTTCACATGCTTTGAGACCACCAAGAACCTGGGCATACTGCCTCACGAGGACCACGACGCTGCACCTCTTTCTCTTCAGGTGCATGAGATGAGAAAAATACTGAGAGCAGTAAATCCCAGGAAAGCTGCTGGGCCTGATGGCATTCCTGGTGCAGTAATTAAAGCGTGTGCTGACCAGTTGGCAGAAATACTTATAGAGCTGTTCAATCTATCTTTAACACATGCCATCATCCCACAATGCCTGAAGGCTGCAACCATCATCCCCATTCCCAAAAAAACAAATATAAACACTCTCAATGACTATAGACCCATAGCGTTAACAAGCTCCATTATGAAGGTTTTTGAGTGACTAGTTGCACAGCACATCAGAGACTGCCTCCCGCCCTCCTTTGATCAACATCAGTTTGCTTATAGAGCAAACCGATCTACAGAGGATGCTGTGGCCATCACACTTCATAGAGCACTGAGTCATCTGGAGAACAAACAGAGCTATGTGAGGATGCTCTTTGTGGACTACAGCTCTGCGTTTAACACTATCATCCCAGATATACGAGTAACCAAACTGTATAATCTGCAGGTCCTCCCCCCCCACGTGCTCCTGGATTAAGAACTTTTTGACAAACAGACCACAGTCTGTTAGACTTGGCCCCCACCTTTCTTCCACTATTACACTCAGTACAGGTTCCCCCCAGGGTTGTGATTTGAGCCCCCTGCTATATGCCTTGTAGACCTTTGACTGCTCACCAAGCCACGCAACAAACACCATCATAAAGTTTGTGGACAACACGACTGTGATTGGTCTCATCTCTGGAGAGGATGAGACGGCATATAAGGCAGAAGTAGAGAACCTGTCTATCTGGTGTTCACAGAACAATCTTTCACTGAATGTCCATAAAACCAAAGAACTGATTATGGACTTCAGGAAACATGAACAGGACCACACCCCACTCATCATCAACGGAGAATGAGTGGAAACTGTCCCTATGATCAGATTCCTTGGCATCCATATTTCAGCTGATATCTCCTGGTCCCCAAACACCAAGGCCATAGTGAAGAAGGCTCAGCAGTGGCTGCACTTCCTGCGGGTTCTCAGGAAGAACAATCTGGATAAGAAGCTGTTGCTGGCTTTCTATAAAGCCTCTGTGGAGAGCACTCTGACATATTGTCTGCGTGTGTGGTATGCAGGCTCCACAGTTGAGGACAGGAAAACTGTACAGAGGGTGATAAACACAGCTCAAAAAATCATTGGTTGCCCTCTGCCCTCCCTGGAAGACTTAGCCAGGTCCCGCTGCCAAAGCAGAATCAAGGCCATTATAGAAGACCCCTCACACCCTGGCAATTATCTTTTTGACCTGCTGCCGTCTGGACGGCGTTTTAGGTCAATAAAATCCCACACCACTAGATTAACAAATAGTTTCTTTCCCTGGGCCATCCAAACTGCAAATAAACATGAAGTCACTACCTCATTAAGATGTGAAAAGATGTGAAATCTCAATACCCCATTCAGATGTATAATAACATATTACAGTACAATCCATCCCTTGTGTATTATACTCGGCTAAGTGTTACAGTCAGTGTTGGATGTATATTTTGTGTATATTCATAGATATTGTACTCTCAAATTGCAAATGGAGACGGTGGGTACTCTATCTTTCTTATCTTCATTTTTAAGTGCTTTTTAAGTGCTTTATTGTATTGCGAACAGTTGCTGGGGTGCATCCACAGTTTCGTTGTACAATGACAATAAAGTTCTTCTTCTTCTTCTTCTTCTTCTTCTTCTTCTTCTTCTTCTTCTTCTTCTTCTTCTTCTTCTTCTTCTTCTTCTTCTTCTTCTTCTAGTGAATGGCATCAGGGAAGTGTGGTTGTGGCACTACGTTTTTTCTGTTTTGGTTTACTGGTTTTTGTGTTTCTATTATTGTGCATATTGTTTTATTCCTGAATGGTAAGACACCCAGAGTTTGGCTTTTAGATGGGTGGCTATACAAATGTTATAAATAAACAAACAGACAAACAAACAAACAAACAAATAAATAAGACTAACACAGCTTTCTTCCTTTGTTTCTTACCACAGGTGAACCATTTAAAGAAATTGAATTGGTAGTTCCTCTTCAACTACCATATTTATCATAAAAAATAGCTTCCTCTCTAACTTGATTATCGTGAAATATAGCTTGAGCTGCCACTCTGACCTATACTCATCTTTTGCATAGATAGAAGAAGTGTGAATAAATGTGTCTGGAAGTGTGAATTTTTAGAATGTTTTGGTGGGGAATCTAGATAATGGAGGAGTGGTCTGAGGGGTTTTTTTTGTCCCAATCCCCTCTTCTTCTCCTCTTTCCCTCCCACAGTCCCACCCCTCTTCACTGTTTCAGACAAGGGCTATTAGCTGCTAAATTAGCAAAGCAACTACACCAGGCAGAAGAAGCCACAGTCTTCCTGAAACAGTATCCATCTTCCACCATATCATTTTACCAAGAGAGGTAAGTTCATAGACAAGAATTAAAAGTTTGCATAAAGTTTCAACCAGATGCTAGATTGGTGTAGCCTTTCTTAATCACTTCTTTCATCCTGAGACTATTGAGAACTTGTAAACAACTTTATCTTGGTTTAGAGGTATTGATTTATACCTATCCAGCAATATTTATGGCCGTTGATATTTCTCATGCGACTTTTACTTAATTGATGTTCTTCTGGGATTGGCACGGAGAATGTGGCAGCCCACAGAAAGGGCAGCAGCTCTCAGCATTGTTAAAGACTGCCATTAGCCAATTGTGACAAGCCTGTAAGAGATTCAGCCAAATTTGTAATTGAGGGTAAGAGTTGAAGACAATTGTGGGAATGCCATTTCTTTTCCATCACAACGCAATGTTGATGAATGGCTTCTTGGGGCAAAACCCTGCCACTTTAAATAGTTAGCATTCAGAGCTTAGTATGAGATCCGGTTCTTAACATTAATTGAGATTTTAAATGCTGAATATTTTTCTATCCTGTCATTATGATGCAGATTATATTTCATTTGTTTCATTTCTTTTTTTTCTTTGTCTCTGTAGAAATTGAAAATGTGTAGACATAGCCTTTATTTAATAGTTGTACAATAGTTCTGGAGGCAATTCTTTAGCATTGGTTATTTAAATTACACATAGTGATACATCTTACTTTGTGGATGTAGCTGGGTTTCAACCTCTGCCACAGACTCATCCTACAAAAAGCAAAGTAGGACAATTTTATTTGCATGTTTTATCATTTCTAGTCTAGATCTCCTCATTACCCTTTTCATCATTTTTCTTGTTCTTATACTGCTGTGTGATATAAGTTATCGAAATAATTCAATACACCAAAGTAACTGAAATATTATTTCGCTGAAATCAAGCTTAAACCTTTGGTCAGTTTGGAATGTTGAGTGGTTTAAAGAGCAGTGTTTTTCAAACTTGGCAGCTTTAAAATGTGTGTGGACTTCAACATCTTCAATGCTGGCTGGGGAATTCTGGGGCTTGAAGTCTGCATATTTTAAAATCACAAGTATAAACCCCATCCAAATGGGCATTACAAATCATGGTCACAGGTCCATGGGACTTTCCAACCAGTTGTAAAGGTGAGCCAGTTGCCAAGCGCCTGAAATGCAGTCATGTGACTACAGGGGGATTGCACGACATTTTATAATGGCCAGAAATGCTTTATGGGTAGTAAAGTACTTGCTCCAGGCCCGTCATAATTTTGAACAGTTGTTAAGTGAATGGTCATAAGTTGAGGACCACCTCTACTTTAATGACTAGAATAACATAGAATAGAATAAGCTGGAAGGGACTCTGGAGGTCTTCTAGTCTAGCCCCATGCTCAAGCAGGAGAACCTATACCATTTTAGATAAATGACTGTCTAGATTCTTCTTTAAAATGTCCAGTATCCATGATTTCTCTCGACAAGCTTTCAGAATTTCTCCTTAATTCTAAGTCTCTTTGGTTAGTTTCCAACCATTGTTTCTTGTCCTGTCCTCTGGTGCTTTGGAGAATAATTTGATCCCTTCTTCTTTGTGGCAGCCTCTCAAATATGGGAATATTGCTATCATGTTACCCCTAATTCTTCTTTTCTTTAGACTAGCCAAACCCAAATCCTGCAGCCGTTCTTCATATGTTTTAGTCTCCAGGCCTTTGATCATCTTAGTTGTTCTTCTCTGAACTTTTCCCAAACTCTCAACATCTTTTTTGGAATGGAAGACATGGAATGAATACCTTACAGTGCATTCTTGTGAATTATTTGCATTAAAAAATATTTGCCTGCCACGCTTTTTGTTAAATGGGATTATATTTAATTCTGTTCCTTGTGCTTTTTAGCATAACAGAGTAAACCATGATCTCTAGATTATTGTGGCCTTTGGTTTTGCTGGATCTTCATGCATTTCTAGTAGAAAACACCAATGAAGAAAAAAGAAATGGAGTCAGAAAACAGAAGAACAAACCGTTTGTTTCAAATGCAGTAGAAAAATATCCCAATTCAAGTGATCAAGGTGATTATTTTTGAGTAGTTCTAAAACAAAGTTTAATCCATTACAGTCTAAAATTTATTTTGTATTATGGAAGTGCAATTGTTTGAATGCTAGGCTTATTTACAGCAAAAGCAGTAGCTTGATTATAAGACATTTGTTTTGCATCCAGAAGGCTGCCAGTGGTTTTATGCATAGGGAATTTTCCAGCTAAGACTAGGAAATACTCTATCTGAATTCGTTCAACTATAGGCACTTAAGAAAGCAGCTCTCTCACACATGCCATTCTTGGAATCGACCTTGGGAACTGCTAGAAAGCAATGGTTGGCCAAGAATCAGGGTGCAAGAAAGAAATCATTGCGGTTGCGGTTGCTCCACCCACTCACTCCATTGACTGATTTCCTGGAACTTTGCACTTGATTTCACACTGACTTGTTGATCCTTAAAGTTTTCATGTCAAACAAGTTATGAAAAATGATTGGTGGATTCTGCTGGGTTCATTTTCCTTCCTGCCAAAAGTCACTATAGAGAAAATGGGAAATCAAGCACCAATTTTACTCTCCTTAAATGGGAGATGAAGCTGAATGGTGTGAGTGCAGCTGGGTGTTTGAACAGGGAAGTTTAGCCAGCTGTCAAGTTGCCCTACAAGTGCCTTGCACCTGTGACATGTCATTAGGCTATTTTTGAACATAGATTTAGTGCTCTTTTGATATCCACTAAAAAGCCAAATGAATAGGTCATTGGCACAGAAGAAGGCCACAGGGTGAAGTATGACTATGCCACTATCACATCCTTTGTATGTGCTTTGTGTTGTATGATACCCTCCAGATTGTTACATTATAACTTCTGTCAAACATAACCCAACTAACTGGAAGTGATAGGATCTTTGTCCAATTTACCTTAAAAATACTTGATTGGGGAAGATCAAAAACAAGTCGGCAGAGACATATACATTCCACTTCCACAGCAATATATATGGCTACAACTTCATTTATTTAGGTTTACCACAGAGGCAGAAAGATAAACCACAGATTTTCAGCTCTGCTTGAAGGAAAACTGCAAAATGGATGGTTCAAAGGCAGGAGCCCACAGGTTGTCTACCTCTGTTATATACAAATAAGTGAATCCTCTCAGGAAAAAAATATCTTGTTTATCCAGCTTTTCAGAGATACTCAATATTTTCCAGGAAAATATTGACATTTAAATAATTGGGTCCATAGTTGCCTATTATGCATGCTTTATTTAAAGTTTTTTTTAAAGGGGTAATTCTCCAACATTCAGTTTCATCTAGAAAAACTCCAGAAAAGCCTTTGCCATCCTAATAACCATCCCAGCTGTGAACTCTGAGACCTACAATCCAACTGGAAGCTACCAGACCGGAATAGTTCTGAGAGTGGCATGGGCAGATGCACCTTTTTTCCCCAGGCACAGACCTATGGCAACGCCCATGCACATTTGGGAATAAACGCCTCTGAACTCAGCAGAACCTCCAAGTAGATATGTATAGAGTTGAGCAGAACTGCGTCTGTGTGTGTTGGAGGAGAACAAGTTCAACGTCTTCAGTAGGTTTTCCAAACATCTGTGGAAGGTTGAATGAGTTGGCAAGAGGTCAATGTCCTTAGCATTCAAGTGACTAATCTGAGCTGTTTTCTCCCTCTGACTTTTGTGATTTCTAGATGAAGACTGTATCCTGGAAATGGCCTTCCTCCTGGACAGTTCAGAGAGTGCTAAGAACTTCAATCATGAGCAGCAGAAAAAGTTTGTCTTGGAGACAGTAGACAGAATGAAAGGCCTTCAGCTCAGCTCTGGCCGCACACTCAGCTGGAGGACTGCCTTACTTCAGTACAGCAGCACTGTCCTTATTGAGCAAACGTTTAGAGACTGGAAGGGCCCCGAAGCTTTTAAGTCTCGAATTGCTCCCATTACATACATTGGCCATGGGACCTATACCACCTACGCCATTACGAATCTCACTCAGCTCTATATGAATGAGGGAACTCATGGTAGCGTGAAAGTTGCCGTGTTGCTGACCGATGGGGCAGACCATCCGAGAAATCCAGATATTTTTTCAGCTACTGCCGATGCTAAACATCAAGGTATTGCGTTCTTCACCGTGGGAATGACCAGAGTAGCCGAGGAGGTGGCCAATGCTGCCAAACTCCGGCTATTGGCCAGTGTTCCAGCCTCCAGGTTTGTCTTCAATCTACAGGAAAAAGACGTGGTGGAGAGAATCCTCAAAGAAATGGTAGGGGCAAACACCTCAGCGGGCCAATATAATGGATACATATCCCTTAGGCCAGGGGTGGGCAACTATGGCCCTTTTATGAATTATGGACTTCAACTCCCAGAATTCCTGAGCAAGCCATGCTAGCTCAGGAATTCTGGGAGTTGAAGTCCACAAGTCATAAAGGGGCCATAGTTGCCCACCTCTGCCTTAGGCAGATACCATTTTTCAGTGGGTTACGTGCAAATGTTTTGCAATGGAATATCACTTGTAACACAGGGCTGCAAATGTCCCTTCTTTCAGGAAGGCCAGAATTATATCTCTCCTCACAAGGTAGCTGTCAAAATGCTAGCTGTTCAATGTCATATTAGGGTTTAGTCAAATTACTTGAATATATGCTGTGTAATCAGTTGGAAAAGAAGGAGCCAAGAGCTGGGTTGACTACTGTTTTAAGGAGATGACAGAAGCCAGTCTGGTAGAGTGATTAGGATGCTGGACTAGAAATTCAAGGGATCATGACTCCAGTCCACCCTCAGTTACAGCAGTTTATTGGCTGATTTTGGCCAGCCAGCAGACTCAGCCCATTCCACCTCACAAGTTTTTTGTTGGAGAAATAGGAGGAGGGACATTATATAACTCAAAATGTACCCCCATCTTGAGCTATATAGAAGAAAGGAAACATAAATACGAGTAAATAAATAAGCATGGAGGGGCAAAATGCTTTGTTTGTGAGCTTGAGGTCATATTATAGGCCAGGAGTGTCAAACTCAAGGGCTGCGGGCTGGATCCAGCCCATGGGGTGCATAAATCTGGCCCGCAGGGCCACCCTGAAACAGAGATGGGCAGGCCCATGGTGCCTCTGCCAGCAAAAAAGGAGCTCGGGGGTGGCATGTGTGAGCCCTCCTGAGCTCTGTTTTTGCTGGCAGAGGGCTGCAGGAGTCCATCACAGTCAAAAATGGAGCTTAGGAGCCCATTTGCACTGGCAGAGCACTTGGGCCACCACAGATGCCCATGACACAAGTGACGTCAAGCTGGCCATGTCCACCCTGGCCATGCCCACTTGAGATCAAGCACAACGCCGCCTTCGGTCCGATCTAAGTATAGTATATAAAATCATACATTGCAATGTCCTTCCTGTCAATGAATACTTCAGCTTCAACCATAACAATACAAGAGCAAACAATAGATACAAACTCAAGGTTAATCGCACCAAACTTGATTGCAGGAAATAGGACTTCAGCAACAGAGTGGTCAATGTCTGGAATACTCTACCTGACTCTGTGGTTTCTTCCCCAAACCCCAAAAACTTTAACCTTAGACTGTCTACTATTGACCTTACCCCTTTCCTAAGAGGTCTGTAGGGGGTGTGCATAAGCGCACCAATGTGCCTACCGTCCCTGTCCTATTGTTTTTTTTTTAATTTTTCTTATATGTATCCATTTCATGTATCCATAACTATGTTTATACTTATACCTGTTATCTTATAATTGCTTGACAAAATAAATAAATATAAATAAATAAATATAAATAAATAAATAAAAACTTTGACGTATCCTTCAATGAAATCGAGTTTGACATCCCTGTTATAGGCCAATAATATAACCATGTATCCATTAACAACATGTTCTGTTCTTCCATGCTTATATATTAAGACACTAGAGTTATATATGTTTTTGGTTTCCTACATTACATTTTTTCCCAAGCTCTACTTCCATAAATGCATTCATGTAGATATCCAGGGTAGGGAAGCCCTTGCATGTGGGCCTTTGTAAACTGAGGCGTCCCTCTGTTCCAGAATAGCTAGGCAGCCTTTGAATTTCAGCTCCTCCACAAAAACACTACAGGGTGGTGAGAATGAGGGCATGAGGAGGGCATCAGGGGGGGAGCTAAAGGTATCTCCCACCATTTCCAAAAAACCGTTACCACTCTGGAACTTCAAATATACAGCCATTAATAGTTGTTGCCTTATGTTCTCAGTATATGGTGAATTAACTTTTTTGTGTCTACCCTATTATGTAACTATTAAATATACAGAGGTTTTTATATATATATAAAAAGCAACAGTATAGTTATTAGCATGTTGGGACTATCTTCCCACAAGCTTTCTCTTTCACTTTTTAAAGAATTATGCTTTATCATCTGTAAAAATCTAATTTTCTTTTCCATTTATCTATCTCTCTAGAAAGATCTGGCAGAAGAAGGGGTAAGTCGTATTTGTGAATGGGCGAATGAATGGATGGATTATGTTTAAACATGAAAGTGAAATAATTACTGACATGGGTGAAAATGTTGTATATTTTTATTACCATTATTCTTTAATCAATTCAACCCTCCCTTTAAAGGGTGTGGAGGTATTACAAGAGTATGATATAAATTGATTAAAAACACTCAAAGAAAATGTAAGCATAGTTATAAGCAAAACAGAGTCTGTCTCAGTTATGTTGAAGATTCATTTGCTTGGTTGTTTTTTCCCCCCAAAGTGTCCTCAGCCTCCTGTATGTAACTGTGAAAAAGGAGACAAGGGCCTTCCTGGCCCTGCTGTAAGTACCCTTTTTTCCCCTCACTTCTCTGGTTCTGGAGCTTACGTTTTATGCACAACATGGATTACTTTTAATGGTGGCGCTTTATTAATTTGCAACGCCGGGCTGATGAAATGTGCATTGAGAAAAGGCAGGCTTGTGATTCAGCAGGACAACCACAGAAACTGTATCTGCATACAGTTGTGCAGATGTATAAACTCGGCTCCATTCTCAGTGGGAGAGTTTCAGATGAAACAGATATTGGGTTAAACTGTAATTGTCAGCAAGATGGAGGAAATTTTGCCTTGTCTTTGGAGAGCAGGGGGTGAGAATCCAGGAGAGTCTTACTTCATTATATTCTGAGAATGAAAATCACTGGCGAGTTTCATCAAAGAACAATCACAACCCAATTACACCTTCAAATAACATATCATCGTATAATGGTTAAAACAAATACAATATTTTAAAGGGGATTTCATAAAGCCCTGGTGATGGAGTGGTTAGAATGCATTGCAGGCAAACTCTGCCCACAGCCTGGAGCTTTGATCCTGGGGTGGGGCTTAAGGTTTACTCAGCCTTCTATTTTGCCGAGGCTGGCAAAATGGTTGGCTGCAATATGCTGACATTGTAAACTGTTGTGTTGGATAGCAAAGCAATATGGAGTGGTATATAAGTGGTCGAAATGCTATTACTATTGCTATACAAGCCAAAAAAATGCTGAAACTGTTCCAAATACTTGTCCCAAAGGTGCTTTTTCAAGAGGCAACTGGACTTTTTGGTTTTTCTTTGGATTTCAGAAAGATTTCAGATTTCAAAACCAGAAAGTCCAGTTGCCTCTTGAGAAAGCACCTTTGGGACAACCATGACCTAGATGACTGATAATCTCCATAGACATGTTCCAAATGCTTTGATTAGTTAGACTACATCTTCTCTATATTAATACAAAGCAACATGTCATAGCCTTAACTGACCCAAATCCATAATCAGTGTTAATAATCAATTTTACTGGCAGTTGTACAGACAGAACATTGTAAGAACATTCAACTAAAAGACAACTCATACTTATGACTGGGCTACCCATTATTAAAAATGATGGGTGGCATTCTTCTTCCTCTCCTTCCTCAAACTACTCCTATTAGAATATCTGTAATAACAGAATCTTGCAAGTATGAATGTGCTTCCCCCTACCTCTTTTATTTTCATGCGAATCAGAAGGATGCCTGCTTTAGGCACTTTTGTAACTCCGTGTTATTATTTGTCCCAGCTTCTGCCAACCTAGCAGTTCAAAAAGACGTAAAAGATGCAAGTAGAAAAATAGGGACCACCTTTGGTGGGAAGGTAACAGCATTCCGTACGCCTTCGGCGTTTAGGCATGTCAGCCACATGATCACAGAGACGTCTTCAGACAGCACTGGCTCTTCAGCTTTGAAACGGAGATGAGCACCACCCCCTAGAGTCGGGAACGACTAGCACATATGTGCGAGGGGAACATTTACCTTTACCTTTATCATAGCTTAAGCCATATCTATTTGTTTGTCGCTTTGTAAGAGATCTTCCCTCTGACTGTCAAGGCCATCCTCTCTACTCTCTTCAGGGAGCAAGAGTGAATGCAAAAGCTACAGAGAGGCTTGATTTATTAAATATATAGAATTCTGACCAAAAAGGTATGATAAGAAGTGCAGTGCAGCTAGGCAGGCGGAGGCGGGGGCAAAGGGATATCCAATGTTAGCTTCTTAGTAATTTTCAATTATAGAATGGTTTGTGACAAATAGGGTGTTGAAACCTTTCTGAGTTCAAAAAACATGTTATGTGATAGAATTAAAACATGAGAATAAATGGAATGTATAATAAGTGGTTCAACACTGAGCAGGGAATATATCAAGATGCTATTGGCTATATCTGTCAGAATGATATATATAGTCTGCTTCTCTTAACTACTCAAAATAGAGAAATACTGTACAGACATGTCCCAGTCTCTACTCCACTTCCATGCTCCCTCTGGGCGAAGTGAGCATTTCTCTGTTGTTTCAAGGTATGTAGTACATTCTGAGAACTATCCATACTGTGTATTTCCTCTTGCAGCATCACTCTAGCCACAGCCTTTAATAACAAAATTCAGGTAGTGCTTTAAGCAAAAGTTCCTAGAATTTTATTCCTTGTTTTCCTAGCCATCTTTTCATTTTCTTGGGAGCAACAAGTTCAAGTTGTTGAAGTGCACCATCTAGGAATTGGGACAGTAAAGAACTCTATTAACTTTCCACTTTTACATCTTTTGCTTCCAGGGTAAAAAAGGTCGCCCCGGGGATGATGGAGCGCCTGGTGCAAAAGGAGGAAAGGTGCTATGACCTTTGACATATGCTTTAAAAGCTCATTTGTTTTTAAAAAAACAACAACAGTTATTTAGACTGTATCTGGTTAAAATTAAGGGATCTCCTGTTGTGGTAGAAGTTAGAAGTTAAAGCATAAAGCTTACATTTCAACATATGAGCGATGTTTTGTTAAGAAGGTAGAACTAGACAGACCTAGAAGACTTCAGCCAATTAAGAACTGTCCATTAAAAGTTGTTCTTGGAATGTTCTCAGAATACTTAGAACAGTAGTGTCACTTAGTTTTGGCCTGCGGGACCGACCTGAAAACAGCGAAGGATCGGCCCACAGTGCGTCTGCCAGTGAAAAATGAGCTCAGGAGGGCCGTGCATAGCTCTCCCAAGCTCCATTTTCACTGGCAGGAGGTTGCAGGAAGACGTTGTAGCCAAAAACAGAGCTCGGGAGCCCGTTTTTGCTGGGAGAGTGCTTGGGTTGCCACAGGCGCCCCCAACGTGAGTGACATTGTTGAGCTGGCCATGTCCACCCTGGCCACGCCCCCCCATCCCCCCCAAGTCAAACACAAACCTGATTCGACCCTCAATGAAATAGAGTTTGACACCCCTGACTTAGAATGTTCATTAAGTTGTGAAAGCAGCAGGTTGTAGAATAATAATATTAAAATATCCTATTGCTTCTAGGGGGAGCCAGGCTTAAATGGAATTCCAGGAAGAGATGGGACAGAGGTAAATGAATTTATTTGCTTGAAGGAAACCTCTAGATTCTGTAAAAACAACAACCCCAAAGGTGCTTTTTCAAAAAGCAACTGGACTTGGTTTTTCCTTTAGTTTAGAACTGAAGAAGCTTCTTGGATGAGAAGAAAAATGTCTTCAAGGAAAAACGAAATCCATCTGCCTTTTGAAAAAACAAAAGGGACAAACCCTGACCTGGATGACGGAGAATCTCCATAGACATACTTTAAAAATGTATATCATAACACCTTGATAATCGTAATTGGCATTCACAGGCAGCCATCTTTTTTATATCCAGAGCTGCACTCACTCAGGGAGAAGCATCTGAACTGTGTGATAAATGGAAATGAGAGCCAAAAGGATTGGGACTACCCACTTCTCTTTGTCCAACAATGGCCCCCTTTTCCTTGTTCTCATTTGCTTTCTTTGTGGCATTGTTCTATTTCTACTTAAGGAACAGGCTGCTAGGGAGGAGATACAAGCTTACAATACAATTGATCTCTTTGGATCACAATTAGGCAAAGGTAGGGATACTGTATGAGGATTTTAAAATGCCAGAGGACCACTAGCCATCAGCAAAATGTATATTGGTCAGATTTTTCAACTCAGATTTAGTAGCTTTAAGCTGTTGGCTGCATGGCGTCTACCAATATAGAGCAAAAACAATATGTGATCCAGTAAAAAATAAAATAAAGAAATTCAGCAATTTGAAATACTGCTCCTCCCTCATCACTCATAAAACCTTCAACACACTATTCCAACTCATGTCTGCAATCTGGACTAGATCACACAGCAACTGTAACCTTTAATTCTAAGCCACACAGCTACCTAGACTATCCTGGGATATTGGACATGGCTAGACAATGGCATGGTCCCGCATAGTGTTAACTGGATTTTCATAATGTCACCCTTAGAGTGGCTTTTCATACTATCGACAGAAATTGCAACAATATCCTTTTATTTTATTCAGGAGCTCAGATGCTGCTTTGTAAAAAAAAAAAAATAGAGTCAAAAATGGTGACCGAAGCATTAGTATTACCCTCTGCACAACTTTTTGATGACTTTTCTGGGGGGTCTGATGCAAGAGAATCAGAGCCACTGTGCATTGAACCCCCACTTTGCCCAAGACACTGGATTGAGTTCACCCAAAAAAAAAAAAGTCAAATAAAAAAATCATGTAAAAAAAGAGTCAACCGTTGGCTCTTAGTTCCTTTTCCTTACCCCAAAGACAGATGTATATTTTAAATTAATAAATACCCTTTTCCTAGTGTTGATCCTATGCTTTTTGGCTAGTAAGTGCCTGTACTAATTTAGTTAAAAGATATTTTACTTCTTTCTATTAGGGGAAATCTGGATACAAAGGAGAAAAGGTATGGATTTTTCACCTTTTTGTATCCTCTATTTGTTGTATGCCGATAACAGGTGAGTTACTGAATTTAAAGACAAAGGTTGAGGTATTTATTAATTAATGAACTGTATATTCCACATTCTTTTCTTTATAAAATCTTAAGTATATTTCCAAAAAGAAAATATAAGGGGAATGGAAATCTTGCAGTGAAGGAAGACCAAAGTTGTTGCTTGCTGTTGCCTTTTAATGCAGAGATAATATTAACTGCACTTTTTAAATCTCAGGGTGAAAGAGGTGAATGTGGAACACCGGGCATAAAAGGAGACCGAGTAAGTAACTATCAATATATATGTATATGTATATTTGTAGATATTGTACTCTCAAATTGCAAATGGAGACATGGGTACTCTATTTGTCTTATCTTCATTTTTAAGTGCTTTGGTTTAATTGTATTGCGAACAGTTGCTGGGGTGCATCTACAGTTTCATTGTACTTGTACAATGACAATAAAGTTCTTCTAATTCTATCACAGATTTAACCGGGAGGAGGGGAGAGATGTAAGACTTGGAAAGAAGATGTGGAGATATGGTCTACATAGAGCTGAAGTAGATGTAGCTTGATCCTAAAATATTTAAAGATCATCATTGTTTAAATATGATTAGGAAAGAGAGAACTGGTGGGGTGGGCTGCCTCAACATTAACAATCTGTAGAAGGCCTGAAAAAATGTCTTCCTGAATCTCTGGACAGATGCCACCAATCAGTGTGAACACTGTGAGCCTGGCTAGACTTACGCCTTGAATTGGTCAAAGGCAGCTTCCTAATTTCTTCTCTTCTCTTGTAGGGTCCAGAAGGCCCAGGTGGTCCAAGAGGTCCCCGTGGTCTGCAGGTAATAGAGACTAGAAAGTCTGCTTAAAGAGTGTGTGGCATTCCACTCTACTCTGTGTCAGGATTCCGGCAGTTACCCCCATTTAAATCATGAGTCTCGAGCCAAACTTCCAAAACTTAAAAAGGATTTATTGGGAGTTAACATGTCTGGTACTGCCTGGATGCAGCCAACTGTGAGACACATAATTCATTGTCACCCTTGACCCTGGTTTTCCCCCACCCCATGGGTGTATCATAATTCATATTCTCCAATGGGACACTTCCATAGCCCAGAGTCATCAATCATGCATGGCAGAAAATTTAGTCACCTAGTTACTAACTTTGAAAACATTTATGGAATGCACTTTCGGTTTGCAAGCTGCTGCACTGCTCCCCCTACCCTTTCTGTTGGCAACTCTAAAAAGATCATAGAAATATTTTATGAGTTGACACTCCATCTCTTCAGATTTAAACCCGTTCCCAATTGCCATTGTAACTGGAAGTCTAGTAATTTTATAATGAAGTCTGTTACTGCATTATTTATTTATTTTTAATTGTATTATTATCAGAATGGAGTTGATTAGTGGGGATGATACAAATGTCACATCATGAAGCAACTAATGTCACCCACAAAAAATATTTCTTCTGCAGGGAAAGAATGGGATGAAATAAACTTGAAGTTCTTCAGATAATATTACTTTTTGTATCATAGTTCTCATACCTGTATCCTATCCTATATGTTTCTTATACCTTTCTCAGTTCCAGTCTCTAATCCAGAAATAAATCTTAATCCCAATCCTTTGTATTGCTGCATAGTATTGCGGCATATTATTATATTAATATTAATATATATTGTATTAACATATATTAATACAGATTATTAAAAGTTCAGCACAGCATTTTTTTTTTGTCCTCTGGATAGTCCTGGCTTAGTTTTCATTGTCTCAGCCACATTAACTCAGTAGGAGTTACAAAAAAGTCATTGAGGGTCTTTTCATTTTCTCTGACATTTTTTTAAAAAGATGTGGTGATTTTGCCTAAAAGTTTGTAGATGACAGAACAGAAATGAGAAAAAGGCAGAATAAATGTCACTCACTAATCAAATATAAAACACAGCATATAATGCCATGAAAAATATTTTTAGTTTGATTAAATGAAGATCTTTTCACACATAACTCCCTTCACAAGGACGTACTATGTGTAGGAAAATGTTTATACTGTTATTTATTTGTATGCTCCAAGAACACATGGGAAATGTCCATTGGGTCCCATGATGGCCACATAAGCATTTATGCAAGGGTTTTCAAACTTGGCAAGTTTAAGACTTGTGGACTTCAACTCCCAGAATTCCTGAGGTGTGACTGGAGGAGGAATTCTGGGAGTTGAAGTCGACAAGTCTTAAAGCTGTCAAGTTTGAAGACTCCTGATCCATGGCATCTCACAAATTCCTGCTCCATCTGCCCCCATGTGTTAGTAAATAATACATAGTTTTAGGCTCTAAATAATAAGTGAACCCACTGTGCCTGAGATCCAGCAATGGTGGGGAGCTCTTACAATGTCTGTACTGAGCTGATATAGAATGAATTCTGCTGCTGATTATAATTTTATGTTTTTTAAGCTGATTGTGGACAGTTTTTATATTTGTAACTTGGTTTTTAAATTGTTTTTACCTATTGTGAGCCATCCAGAGTTACTTACTGCAGATGATTTGGGTGGCCATACAAATAAAATGAATGAATGAATCAATCAATCAGCTAAATTCATACATTGTGCCCAATCATGATTTGTTTTAACCATGGTTGTTGGATGTCATCATAGACGGTCCATTATAGTCAACATCTATTTGTAATCTGTCATAATTATAGCCTAGACACACAAGTATCCCCAGGATCATGCATCCCCAGGGGTATTGCGACAGCTAGAAATTTGAGAAATTTTGGTCATACCTCTATTTTTTTCAGTGCCACTGTAATTTTGACCAGTCGTTAAACAAATGGAGCTGAGGACTACAAGTACAATTCAGTTGCATGACTCTCCCCCAAATCTTTTTCCTTTCCCAGATTAAACAAACAGTCCTTAAATTTATTATGGTATAAATCAAGATTTGAAGGGTTTATTCCATCTAAGTCCTCTCAAGTGCTTGGAAGTCAGCAATTTAGAAATAACTGTACTGTAACGATGTATAAGTACACTGCCCAGAATTACTTTCACATGAGTTGGGAGGCTATACAAACATGAGGATGGTGAGGATGATGATGAAGATGATAGATAGATAGATAGATAGATAGATAGATAGATAGATGATAGATAGATAGATAGATAGATAGATAGATAGATAGATAGATAGATAATAGATAGATAGATGATAGGATAGATAGATAGATAGATAGATAGATAGATAGATAGATAGATAGATGATAGATAGATGGATGGATGGATGGATGGACAGACAGGCATAAGTAAAACTGGACAGAAAGAGAAGTTACCTGGAGAACGGACATAACTTGCCTCCTATTTCAGAGGATCCATCCAGACCATTTGCAGGAGTCTAATCACTGAAAGAAGGTAACACTGCTGATACCAACATTGTTCTCTTGTTGATCTTTATTAAGCTATTCCCAGGACTACATTATTATTTTTTATAAATTTACAGGTGGTTTGAAATAAAAAATTAACACTGCTGTGCGAATGTAACCAATTTTCAGATATACATATAAATGATCTAACTACTCAACTATTACTGTCTACTGCAGTCAGTTGATCGTATCCTTATTTATCTATCATCTTAATTTGAGGCTTTGAAGATCTTTATCATGGTTTCATATTTTAACAGGGGCCCCAAGGAGTGCCTGGAGATCAAGGACCTGAAGGAGTGCAAGGATCAAAGGCAAGCTTTCTAATCATCATTTGTCGATTTTCAACATCATAAAACATCTCACTTACATGTATAATCTCTGGAAGCATGTGACTGATTCATAGCACTTGGATTAAAGCCCTCCTAGAAAAAAGGGAAAAAACAAGCACCCTGAGCTGCCCAGAGTTTCTTATAAAATAAGCAGCTATATAAATGTTGTACCTAAATAAACAAATAAAAACCTAGAAGCTCCTTGATTTTAAACATAACTATAGAAGAAAGGTTTAAAAGGGACAAGGGGATTCAAATTTGTGGAGAATTTGTCTGCTGCTTAAAATGTTCTGTGAAAGTTTTGCCAATTGGCATTTTCAGAGGTCACTGCTTACTCTTTCTGTGTACATTATTGCAATATAAAATAATTGCTCAGAAATACTACTTTTAATTTTTTTAAAAAAGCCATTTTTATTTATAATGCGTTTATGTCTCAGACGGTTATGACTTGGTTATTTTTCAATGAAGGCATCATAATATCAAGTGTGTTCATTTATATCATTAATGCAATTTTTGTCATTTGTGTGTTATACTTTCCTGTTTAATGGCCAGTTAGGTATTTGATAAACAAACAAACAAACAAACAAACCAATGAATAACGGATATTCTCTTCCCCAATTAGTCCACTGAATGGAGATTTTAAAATACTGTTCTGTTTCCTCTGCTATTGATTCTAGCTATCCTAGCTAAACTGAATTTTTTTTTTCCTACAAAGTCGCAGCAGAGGTTCATCAAACAGCAACCATGAACTCTTTCACTGCTGCTTGTAAATAGAAGATCAAGCTGCTCACAATATTCCACGGCATCAAAATCCCCTTTTAGACGCTTCAGTTCATTTGAACCTTTGGTATGGCTTCAAGCCTCAGGGAATGATAAAAGCACAGCTCATAAATAACATCTTGTTGAGACTTTGTATGACTTATGATTTTTTTCTTCTTTAAAGTACAAGAAAGCTATTTAGCTCCAGGGCATCTCTCCATACCACATTGCTCTATAGGCAGAGTAAGAAGTGGTTCACAAGACTGTTTTCTTCCACTTTGATTTCATAGTTGAATTCTTTGGAAAATACAGTATTCGTGGTAATGGAACACATGCTTGGCTTCAGAACTCCATTAAGAATTTTCTTATTTCATATATAAATGTTACGGTAACATAGTTGTTGCAAAGTTCATTTGTGACCTTATTTCCCTCTTATTTTATTGTTATTTTATTTATTGTATATGGACGCTCCTTGTCTAATGACCATTCATTCACCGACTGTTCAAACTTGTGACAGAACTGAATGAGAAGCATCCCCCTGGTCATCTGATCACTATTTGCTTTATATATTTTTGATGACTTCCTACAAGAAAAGTCAGTGGGGAAGCCAGCAGGTGTTGCAAATGTTGACCATGTTACATTCTCATGGGGGTTTGCTTAATCACGGTAACCAGGAATGTCTTTAATAGGTGACGCTAAGCAGAGTGATCGTGCGACATTGCACTTTATTGTCACATAATAAAACATTGTCGCATTCTCTCTTTCCTAATCATATTTAAACAAACTTGACTCAATTGTTAACTGAGGACTACCCATAGGTCAAATTCTCTTCCAAACCACTGTCGTTGTCATCCTCATCTTCTTTTAACGACTCCATAATCCCTTGTGAGGTGGAGTCTGGGCAATTGAATGAAGCTGAGTGTTTAATAGCCGGATGCCCTTCCTGTTGCCAATGCAGAGTTATCTTCTCATCATGCCCAGAAAGAGAAATATCTGCCTCTACCTAGGATCGAACTCACAGACCTCCTGATTGTGAGGCGAGAGTTCTGCCTCTAGGCCACTGCACCACTCCTCTTTCAAACCACTATGTATGGTAATAAAACACGACACAAAAACAATATTTATGCAGATATATAAATACACTAAAATGTTCTTTGCCCATGGACATTTTTACCATACATAAGACGCTGATGAATTTTGCCATTTCTGAATTTAGAAATGAGCCTAGTTTAGCTGAAATTTAGGAGGAGCTGCAACACAGGACATCACAAAGTTGGTCTAATTCTGGCCCATGGCATATCCTTAAAAGCCATGTGTCAGCCCTCACTGGTAAATCAGACAGGAAATATGACTAGATGGGCTCATTTTACTTTATTTTAAAGCTACATTAACAGAATCCTGCAAATCTGAAGGTGGAAACTTCTCACAGCTGCTTTTAACTGCCTCAACAATTAGGGTGAATCCTTCCTAAATTTCTTGCTCTGACTGTTAATCCATTGGAGTCTCCTGCCTCTCTTGTCTGATTGTTTGCTAGGTAGCATCTCGTCCCCTCATCCCCCAAGACTATCCACACGTTGCATTGCATTGCATTATATAAGTCTAAGTGCTATTGCTACGTCGTTCTATCCCATTTTCATGTCAATCTTTTTTTTTTTAAAGAATGAAAATTAAAATTATATTCTTCATGTTCTAAAATGCTTGATTGTGTATGGATTGTTTCTATATATGTGTCTATGATATACTGTGTATACATATTCATCTAAAATGCGTTTATACTCTAGAACTGTAGTACAGCATTTAGAAAACTGTGAAACCCAAATGATAATTGTGATTTATTTATTTTTTTGGCTAGGTTTCTATTTTCTATTCTATTTTCTCAAGTTTATATAGGCTCTCCATTCTCATAATATCTTTTGCCCTATAGCTAATTCTCATCACTTCGTTCCAGAAAACAATTATAATCAATTAAAGCATGGTGATTTATTTCACAATTATCTCCTTTGAAAAGGAAAAAGAGACAGCTTTACCTTCCTTAAAGTCTTATCAACATAATTAAAGCACTTATTCCGTTTACCTTTTAAGGGGGAAAGAGGCCTCCCAGGCCCTGCTGGATTGACTGGAGAAACGGGAGTCGGATTGCCTGGCCCAAAGGTAAAAATGCCAGTCAATCATAGATTCCTCTTGTGCAAAGGAACAAAAGAGGAGATGCAGTTAAAATCATAGAGATTAATAATAAATGTCGATAAATAATAATGTCTTTATGTTACTTTTAGAAACTTTAAATACTTTTGGGTATATGGGATATATGCAAAAGTATCTCAAAGATTTTTCAAGTAATACAAATGTAAATAATTATGAATTATTTTATTAGTAGTATCATTTGATTTCCATGCACGCAGTTATTGGTCTTGGGATAATATTTGTTTCAATTCCTTCTCACACTCCCAGAAGATTATAGCAAAAATAAGAATATTGTATTTGTCTAATAAACTGTATTTTCTTCCATTCAAATATAAAATTTCTGTTTTGAAGGGAGACATTGGCTTGACAGGCAGACCAGGCCCACCTGGTCCGCCAGGTGTTGGGGAACCAGGTTTACCGGTATGTATTGAACCTCAGGGAATTTCAGGAAAAGAAGGGTTGAAAACAATATGGGTTACTTTTCTGAAAATAAGATGCAAAACTCAAATCTGGTGTAAAATGAAGAACATTGTTGAGTGCCTTTTATTCATGTGCAGGTAGTTTTTGACTCACGACCTTTCATGTATTGACCATTCAAACTTATGACAATATTGAAAGAAGTTATTTACGAGCAATCCTTGAACATACAACTGTCCCTGCAATTATGTGATTGCAATCCAGGCAATTTGGCAAAAGTTTCCTACTTACAGGCAATTGCAGCATTCTGCAGTCACGTGATTGCCATTTGCCACCTTCCCCACTACCTTCCAACAAGTAAATTTAATGGGGTAATTGGGGTCACATGATGTCTCCTTAAAAAAATGTGGCGATTCACTTAACAAACATGGCAAAAAAAGATAATAAAACTAGGTGCAATCACAGGATACCTCACTTAATGGATGAGCTGTGGTGGCACAGTGGTTAGAGTGCAGTACTGCAGGCTACTTCTGCTGACTACCAGCTGCCTGCAAATTTGGCAGTTCGAATCTGACCAGGCTCAAGGTTGACTCATCCTTCCATCCTTCCGAGGTGGATAAAATGAGGACCCAGATTGTTGGGGGCAATACGCTGACTCTGTAAACCGCTTAGAAAGGGCTGTAAAGCACTGGGAAGCAGTATATAAGTCTAAGTGCTACTCCTTAAGTATGATTTTTTTAATTGAATGTAAGTCAAGGGCTATCTGTATATCAGCGTTTTTCAAACTTGGTAACTTTAAGACATGTGGACTTCAACTCCCAGAATTCTATACTGACAATTGTCAAAATGTTCTATCCTTTTGCATTGTCAATCCATAAAGTTGGGAAAATGTCAATATGTAGTGCAATGTTGTCACTGATGGATTGACTAATAGATTGAATATGTGCCATCGGGTTGATATCAACTTTCAGCTAACACATAGATACATTTTCTTCATGACGATCTGCCCCTAATCTGGTCTGTCAGGTCTCCAAACAATGTACTCATTTCTACTGTAACTGAATCCATTCCCCCTTCGGCTAATCCTATTCTTTCCTTTCCATCTCCTATTCCCAGCATTAGAGTATTTTCCAGAGAGCTGGGTCTTCCCATAATGTATTCAAAGTAGGACAATTAGAGCCTAATAATTTGTGTCCTGAGTGAGAGCTCTGAGTTGATTTGTTCAGGGATCCATTTTACTATTAGAATAAGAATTGGAATTATTTATTGCCCAAGTGTGATTAGACACGCAAAGAATTTGACTCTGGTGCATAAGCTCTCAATGTACATACAACAGTAGTGATAGATCATTATCATAGTCATTGTAAAAATACGTTCACCATAAAACATTAGATACAACACTTAGCAATAGTCATGGATGCTAAATAAGCACTAATATAAGGGAAAATATAAGAAACCAGCACTCAAAAACATGTACATATACTTTTACAAAATTATATTATTACCACAAAATTATGTTGTTGCCATATGCAGTTACCAGCAAGAATGACTGAGAACTTTACTCCCATAGTGCATCTGTCAGGTAACGTTGGATGTGTTCAAGAAAGATGCTTTCCGTTTGCATCGGGCATTGTAGCCAGAAAGTTCTGGCCTCACTCCATGTGAATGGTTACCATATGCCCACTCTTGGGTCTTCATAATCTTTTGCAGTGGTTCTAGGGCAGGGGTGGGCAAACTACGGCCCGCGGGCCACATCCGGCCCGTTGATCTTTTTAATCCGGCCCGCCAAAGATTGGTACAGATTTAAGGTTTGATGTGAATGATTGAATGATTGCATTCATTTGATTTTGACTTGTAATGACAGACATTTTGACACCAGGCGGCGGCCCGTCTGTCAAATTTTAAAAGTCAATGAGGCCCCCGAGCCAAAAAGTTTGCCCACCCCTGTTCTAGGGAATGCATATTAGAACTCTTCAATAAACACTGAGGTGCAACGCTTTTCTAAGAATGTTGCAAATTACAAGTGTTGAAAACTTCAAGCACACCTCTGTGTGATCTAATAAGACTCCATTACTGAAGCTGAGCTCAGTTTTCATTGTGTTGCACGATTGTTGCTAGTGGGTCCTCACATTGTTAAGACACTTACTGGGTGTTGTCATGAAAAAAAAAATGGAATTACCGTAGCTTGAGATATCTTGTTGCTGCAGTTCATAGCAAAGTTTGTGAATTCATTTTTTTTGTGTGAATTCATCTTGATGCTTGCAATCTGGAGCAGGTTGAAACTAGACTCCAACTGCAGAGATAAATAAAATCTACGTTTTGGTTTTGACCTGCTGTTGATTTTCAGAGTTTTTCCTGAATTGCTTTTAAAACATATTTTACAGGGAAGTCAAGGACCCCAAGGTATTCAGGGAGAGCGAGGATCCGAAGGAGAAGGGCTTCCAGGACCAAAGGTGCAATTCTATTTTTTTTCCTTAATCTTGTGGCATTTAAATAAATGTCCTTCTTTTTTTTTTATGAATTGGCATTTCTACATCTGAATGTATAGAGAAAAATTAGGTTGTAATTTTGTCCTACAACTCATAAATGGTACAGAGATTTCTCTCAATGATACTGGGGGCAAGGGAGGAAATTGCTTTTTGCAGTCATTTTTCCATGCAGCCAACTGTGTTTTTACAAGCCTCATCCACCCCCATAATCTAGGGTTGATTTGGGGAACGGGACCAGGCAGGGGTGGGATTCAAATTTTTAACAACCTGTTCTGTGGGCATGGCTTAGGTAGTGGGCATGGCTTGGTGGTCATGTGACTGGGTGGACATGTTATTGGCTGGGTGTGGCCAACTCAGTATCATTCATATCGAGGCATGCATCTCCTTGCCTGGCCTCTCATGACTGTGGGGATGCTGCAACAGTCGTAAGTGTGAAAAATGGTCATAAGTCACTTTTTTCAGTGCCATTGTAACTTTGAATGGTCACTCCACACAAGCAAAGTACCAGCAAAGGAGGGGAAAAGAACTCCAGAGAAGTTCCTGAGACAGGAAGTCTAGTCCTGCCAAGAATGTAATAAGGGTTAACGGATAGGCAGTTTCTGTAAGCAACACCAGAATGTTTCCTTCCTGCCTTCCTTACAGGATTAGGTCAGTAATTTCTTCTGACAACGGGTTCTCCGAACTGCTTAGAATGTTAACAACCGGTTCTAGTGAATAGGTGCGAACCTGTAGAATCCCACCCCTGGGACCAGGCTGGTGAAAGGAGCCAAAAGGAGGCAATTTATTTAGCATAAAAAGCAATGTCAATAATGCAATTATTAACACTTCTGAATTGTCGCTATTTTGATATTCACTTCTACTAAGAAATTAGTATTAATGAACAGAATATATTCCTGTTTCACCAGCTGTATGTTTTAGTCATAAGGCATAAATAAAAAAATCTGTGGATCTTTAATGTCAAATGCTTCAAATCAAAATAATGATGATTTGGAAATAGAATATCAACAATGCTTGTCAACTTTACTTCCTACTATGTTTTATTTAGAAATTGCAGGGTAATACAGCTAGATATCTACCCTACAGATGCAACATCCAAATTGTCACAGGGAAAAACAGTGGGTATTATTGGACTGAAAGGCATTCTACAAGTAGTAGAGTTATGGTATTTATGGGGAGGAAACAGAGGAAAAAGAAAGATGCCAAGGCTGGTGAAACTGAACTCTGGACATGATGGATGCCAGAAAGAGATAAGAGGGTAGTGGATTTCGGAATCCTACATGCACTTTCAAACAAGAATGATAGGGGCTACATGCTCCTGTTTCCTGTTGGGATGATTAAATCCAATAGATGTAGTGTTCACGGTGTTGGCATCTGAGGGATCTGGGATTCCAGACTGGCAAAGAAGGAAAAGATCACTGATACTTGGAGAACAGGCGGGCTCCTTTTCATGTTCTTGGTCAACCAGAAATTAGTTACTAGTGCCTCATTCAGCTCCAAGGAAATCTAGCCTGCCTTTATCCATCCTGTGTCTCATTCCACTCTACTCTCTTGGCTGCTTGATCTACTTTTCAATGTGGTTTCCCATTCTTTCCAAGGGATGACAAACCCACATTTTAAAATAGCTGTAAAAACAGCAATGCTGCAAAGAGGGCAGTGGCTGAAAGGCTAAATGACTTTCTAACTACCGTCACTCCAGTGGTCAGCTTTTTATTCTTTTAAATATTGATGTAAGTCTTCCAAATCTAAAAGAACTGCTTTAATGCTCTACGGGCTACTCTGAAACAACTCTAATTGGGCTCCCTCTGAATGCATCTAAGAAAACATTATTATTTTTTTGCAAAACCAGGAAAGTTTTGGCAGATAGCTAAATTTTCTGAATTAGCTGTCTGTCAATAGGTGTTCCTCCCACAGCGCTACATGTGTAACAAGCCTTACCCTTATTAGTCAGAGAGATTAGGGATGTTTTCTTGCCAACTAGTGATGTTTGGTAGAAAGGAAACAAAGTGAGGAGAGTTTGACATGAAATTTGTAAGAACAGCATCACTCACCAACCTTGTTAATTGGGCAGATTAGAACTTGGCTGTGAGGGTGGCACAATTTATGTCCACCTATGTTTCTGCTGACTTGGGAAGAAGGCCAGGAATTAGTAGAATCCTGCCCATCTAGCTATCTGTTTATCCACCATCTCACTTTTAATTGATAATTACCATATAATTCTGTTTTCTTCATTCAGGGAGACCGTGGTTTTGAAGGTCCGAAAGGACCACGGGGCCAACCAGGCATTGGCATAAAGGGTGAAAAGGTAAGTACTAAAAATGCCAAGGGATTGACTGCATCCAAATAAACTTGAATGGCCTGACTGATAGGCTCAAAAGGTGTAATGAAGCAAAAATAAAGAGCTTGCTTTTTTTCAGTGACCCTCGGACAGTGCTATAGTCAGCCGGGTGGTAGATTTATATCCAATAAATCTATTTTGGCATTTTCTTCTAGTAAAGGGTAAATCAAAATGAAGCAGCTTTTATTCTGTGGGAAAGTGAAGTTTTAGGAGAAAAAAAGAAAAGAAAAATTGCACATGCCTTTCAACTCCCGAGAAATATACCTATTTACTTTGGGTTAATTGTGTTTTTTTAAAAAAATAGAGCGCCTGCCACTCATCTCTATTTGGATCATAATAAAATATAGTACAGCTTATCTGTACTGATATTATGCAAATTGCTTGCAGTGAAGATTTCAGTTACTTGTAGCATAGCTCAAGGGTCTGCCTGTCTTAGTAACTAACCAAAATCTATTTTATCAGGGTGAAATAGGTCCACCTGGTTTGCCTGGGCCTATTGGATTACCTGGAATTGGGATTCAAGGCGAGAAAGTAAGTTGGACACAAGCCAAGATTTTAAAGCTCTTCATATGATCATCATGATGATTTCTATTAATTTCTATAAAGTTAATATAATTTATTTCCTAGGGGGTAGAAGGCCCCAAAGGACCACTAGGACCAAGAGGACCACCTGGGCAGGGATTACCTGGGCCAAAGGTGCGTAAGTTTGACCCTAACAGAAATGTCTTGGCTAGATATTTTTAGATCAAATAATTTTAAATAGACGGGTCTTCCTCTTCATGTCCTGAAAGAGCCCATCCATTTTCCAGATTTAAGCGATTTTCTATGATTTTTTTTTTTAAAAAATACATTATTTATCTAATGGACTGCTATCCCAACTTTCCAATCAAAAAAGAATGCTCAAGGCAGCCAACAGGAAAAGAAATGAAATGTAAAAGCAAACTATGGTGCCTTTTCTAAAATCAGGAAGAATAGGAACCCATTTGCATTTCACTAGGAACGTATTGCATACTGTGGGAAGGAAATGGGATGGGAAGCTCTACAATGTGATAACTTGGGCCATGGAGTTGAATAGTGGCAGAGTCCCTTTTCCTAGTGTTGAGGCATCTGGCCTGGCTAACATCAAGGTTTCTAACTCTATTGCAAAACATATTGTTTAAGGGTGACCAGGGTTTACCAGGAGAAACTGGAGCTCCAGGAGAAAGAGGCCTTGGAGAACCTGGTGCAAAGGTACAGTAGTTCTTAAAATGATGAGTATTTAAAAAGTGGACAATGATCTCTCTCAGGGATAAGTATCACCAATGTGCTGATGATGCTGAATTATGCATCTTGGCCTCTGGCCACTTAAGGGATGCTGTTGAGATTCTTTCTCAGTATCCGGAGGTTGTAAAGATCTAGACAAGGAGGAACTGGCTCTGATTCAGGACTGAGTAACTGTGGGATTGTCTGGAGAGTTGTCATAGTTAAGTCTAGGTGAAGTACCACTCCCTCTATCAGACTTGATATGCACTTTGGAGGTCCACCTGGGATTGTGGCTCTGCTTAAGCAACAGAGGGCATCTGCAGCCAAAAGGACTTTGCAGGAATCTATCTTGAGCACCGGTTGCATCTTTTTCTGGATCGGAGAAGTCTGCTCCTAGTCACCCATTCCTTTGTTATTTCCCATTTGAATCATTGCATGGGTCTGTCTGCCCTTGAAGAACTTTTGGAAACTGAGCCTGGTTCAGAAAGAGGGGACATGATTGGTCGTGGGACATCATGCTTTGCACACATAATACTATTCCATGTGAGCTGCACTGACTTCCAATAGGTTTCCAAGCACAACTCAAGTGCTGATTATTACCTATAAAGCCCTATATGGTGTAGGGCCAAGATTTTTAAGTGACCACCCAGCACTTGCAATGTCTATGCTTCCCACCAGATCCAGCAGAGGGGCATATTCCAGGTGGCTTCTATGAATCAGTATCATCCTGTGGAAATTAGGACCTTTTCGGTTAGAGCAATTACCTGTGGATCATACTCCGCCCCCCTCTTCTTCATGGCCATAAAAACCTGGGTGTTGCTTCAGTCTTTAGGGTCAAGATGTTTGTGGAGTCTGGTTTGTGTGTTTGCTCTTTGCTGATGGAAACATTTATTATTGCCGGGCATCTTAGCCACCCAGAGTTATTTAATTAGATTATTCCGTAGTTATCTAATTAGTCTGAACAGCCATTTAGATTTATATAAGATATAAGTAAATAAATGATACCTTAAAATATATTACCGTATTTGCCGGCATATAAGACGACTGGGCGTATAAGACGAGCCCCCAACATTTCCACTCAAAATATAGAGTTTGTTATATACTCGCCGTATAAGACGACCCCCCCACTTGGAGGCATGTTTTTCAGGGCAAAAAACATGCGCCGGCAAATACGGTAAGTTGTAACACTTGGGGTATTCTGGATATAATTCTTGATTGACACCCCCGTCCCTTTCCCCCAAACTTACAAAGCCACCAAAATGCTTTAGAGAGGCAGCTTCGCCTTTCTCAGGCTGGCACTCAATTCCTCTCCCTTTCTTTGCGATCTGCTTTTTTCAGGGGGAAATAAATAAATAAAAATAAAACTGGACGAAAAACAGTCGAGTTGTTTCTTAATATCTTTCCACCTCCCCAACCAATTTGTCTCCAAGGGTGCACCACACTGATTGCGACATTAATTATTTCAGAGAGAGAGGGTGGGGGGGGAGAAATCTTTGCTTCCTACTGTGGCTTTTTCCTGCGCATCATTTTTTCCCTTGGCTTTGTGGTTGTTACTTCTTACAGGGAGGGATAATGAAATACCCACGCTGGGAGAAAGCGGAAAAGATGTCTATTTTCCTGCTCACTAACTTTCCAGAAAGCGTCGAGTTCCTACCCCGAGACTTGCCAAAAGTCCAGTTCATTCATTTGCTACCTTTCTCCAATGAGATCCAGATCTGTTTCCACAACGCACTTAGGATCTTATCTTATTATCTTATTATTATCTTATTAGCCTTGCTCAGTCCGTCCAAGAGAGAAGAAGGCAGACGGTTTTGCGCTCAGGGAGAAAGGAAAAGAGCCTCTCGCTCACGCTGCACACTGCCCCCCCCCTCCACCCCAGCAACGCTTAGGAAAAGAGTTACACAAGCATCCTTTCCAGAAGTGAATGGGGGGGGAGGATTCGGAGCAAAGGCTGAAACCGGGAAGAGAAAAATTCCCAAAGAAAATCGCACGAGCAGCATCCCATTCCTGGGAGAAAAACAAAAAAACAAAAAACACGAACTCTTCCCGAAGCACAAAAGCAAGGATGGCGCTTTCTCAGCTTTGAGCTGCGTCGCTGCTCTCCCACCCCCTCCACTCGTCCCCACGTGCGGCGAAGTTTCTGCCACTGGGTGGGGGGGGTGGAGGGGGATGGAAGGAGGTGAGGGATGGGGGCAAAGCCTGGAGCCTGCCTGTCCGCTCGCACGAGCGGAGTGGGTGGGTGGGTGGGTGGGGGAGGAGGAGGAAGAGAGACTCCGGCTGGGCCTGAAGGGGCTTCGCAAGTTGCGGAGCTCCGCCCCTGTCGCTCTTGCACCGAGTGACAACAACATATTTGCCGGCGTATAAGACGACCTTTGTTATATACTCGCCGTATAAGACGACCCCCCCACTTGGAGGCATGTTTTTCAGGGCAAAAAAGTCGTCTTATACGCCGGCAAATACGGTATGTATCTGACCAGAGAATGCATACAATTGGGAGATCCAGATATTTGTCCCAATCCAAAAATACACACACTTGGAAGGAGATGATCTGCACAGCATTGTGTCTATACAGCTAAGAGCAGAGAGCAGCCAGCAGGGAAGATCTCAAAAGGCAATCACTTGATCGCAGGGCACTGCAACTGGTCGTAAGGGCAAGCTGGTTGTCAAGCAGCGAGATCGTGATCATGGGGTCCTGGGATGATCACTGAGGACTGGTCATAACTCATGTTCAGTACTGTGATAACTTTGAATGCATGTTCATAAGCTGAGGACCACCTATAATCTTTTGCATGCTTTTCCCAGCCTGTCTGCTTTTAAGTTCTTTTAAGTTCATTAAATAAAATCCAGGATGTCCTGTTTCTTTTAACTTTTTTTTCTTTTTTTTCCCCCTTACAACAGGGGGAGCCAGGTACTTCAGGTTTGGCAGGATTACCTGGGCTTCCGGGAGAAGATGGTGCACCAGGACAAAAGGTTTGCTTGCTATTTTTAAAATAGGCAGAAAGTGCCCTTCCATAAGAAATAAATCAATAAAGTATAATATATAAAATAGTGCATGCATGATTGTCTTAAGTCAAGTACTAATGCAATTTATTTGTTTTGTTGAAACTGACTTCAGTGGCTTTATACATAAATGGGCTACATAGCTATCTGACACATCCCTCTGGATTTGAGGACAAATAGCTGTTTGAGTGTATGCAAGGCATTTAAGGAGTACCAGTATTTGTCTACAACTCTTTAAAACAGCCGCATCTTCTTTTCAGTCCTTTGAGGTAGGCTAAATCAGGAAATGGATTCCAGAAGAATGTGGAAATCTACTGATACGAACTACTGTCACAGAATCTTGAAAACTTTATTGTTTTTCCTTCCATCCCTCTTCTATCCCAGGGAGATAAGTCTGAGTCAATGGGAGTTTCTTTCTAGTGTTTTCTTCATTTTTTTGGATTTAAAACATATTTTTGTGACTGTCATCACATAGTTTTGGCAAGATTTATCACTGGTTCATCACATTTTTCTGGAATTAGAGAGTTGTTGTCCGCAGCTCAACTGCAACAAAGAAAGTACATTTAGTTTAAGGAATTGCAAGTAAGTGCTTGTGTGCTCCTACATACCTACGTCTTCCTGATGAAAATGGGCTCCGATAAATAGGTGTCCATTCTAACCACCACTTTGCCGAAATGACTATAGTAAATGTACTGTATGTTGCAACACCAAGCTTCACCCCTTTATACTGGCATTCAGAGGTGGTATTCAGCAGGTTCTGACCAGTTCTGGAGAACCGGTAGCAGAAATTTTGAGTAGTTCAGAGTTCAGAGAATTGGTAAATCCCACCTCTGACTGGAGATTTTAGAGTATCCTTCCCTGCCACGCCCACCAAGCCACACCCACAGAACCGGTAGTAAAAAAAATGGAATCCCACCATTGCTGGCATTGTTGGGTTGCACACAATAAGTAACAGGTAGACTTTGCATTGCAATTTGTGTTTCCTTGTTTGTTTTTTCCTTGCCTGCCCTGTGGCCAAGTAAGTCAACATATAGAAAAAAATAATATAGATCTCTATGTCATATTGCTCAGTGTACAACAGTATATATAAGATTTACTGCTTGCACAATCCTCCACATGCATCATCTTGTCATAATTTTTGCACTTGCTTTATATGGAAGATTAAGCAATAAAACTCAAACATTACAGAAGTGGGCTGAGACTGTGGTATTCCTTTTCAGAGAACTCTTAGCAATCAGTCAAAAGACATGATAAGCTCATCCATCTTTCTTTCATAAAAATGGAATAAATGGTGGGGAAACACAGGAAGGTTGCAAGTAGAAGATGATATATGGGATCCATCGAATTCTTTAAAGAATACACGGTGATGGCAAATAAAAAGTGCTTGATTAAAAGAATTGTGAGATTGCACGTATGTGCCTTTTCTCGAAAACATACTGTATTGTAGGATGTCATCCAGGGACTTCCTTATTCATAGAGACATCATCTCTTTAATACCTATATTACACCAAATATTTAATGATCGTATACTATGCTATATTACAGGGAGAACCAGGTTTACCTGGCCCACGTGGTCCAGAAGGTGCTCCTGGAATTGGAATTCAGGGTGAAAAGGCAAGGAATTATATATTCTGTTTCTGGAATTATCATGCCAAAAGAAATAAAATAAAATATTTCCATTATTAGAGGTATAAAATGTGTTTGTTTTTTTTGAAAATGGATTTTATCAAACTTTTTTTTCTTGCTGTTCAGAAATTCAGTGCCAATGAGAACGCCCCTTCTTCTCTTCATTTCCTTCCTTAGCCCAGATTTTCCCAGTCCTTTAGAGCTGATGTTAAAGATGCATTGATTCAAGAAGGAATTGCCTACTTCTAGTTATACTGACCAAAGCAAAATGTCTGTCTTTGTGTACAGATACATACTGAATTTTCCAAAGTCCCTTGCATTTGCAATCATTTTTGTTGTTGTTTGCTTTCCTCAAGAAAGTTAAAGCGTGTGCTGTCTGAATGACTTCTAAAAATTTTCCTAGGGTGATCAAGGTCAAAGAGGAATACGTGGCTTATCTGGACCAACCGGAGTACCTGGGCCTGCCGGGGCTAAAGTATCACTTTATTTTTGTTCTTATTATGATATCTGGTCTCTCGACAAATTTTGTGGCTAAGACTTCACTGGGTATGGTCAGACTAGCCATGATGCATGCCATATACTGTAGCTTGCCATCACACTGCTTGTTTATGTATTTAACTGATTTATATAGCTGCCCATCTTACATATGTGAGACTAAGCAGCTTATAATAAAAATAATCAGCATCAAAAGGAACCACTCCACTGATATTGGAAGTCCCTTCCTCCATGCTCATCCTGATCTGGTTTGCCAAATGAATCACCTACTTCAAAGCAGCTTTGTTACACTTTGGGAACATCAGTTTAGGATTATAGAATTTTAATACCAACTCGTTTGGAGAAAGCTAGATTTAGGAAGCCTCTGTTAAAGATTTAGGCACAAAGGATGGAGAAACTCATCTGTGATTAGAATTAGTTAGTTCTCCTTTTTTAAAAAATGTCCGTAAAATATAGCAACATAAGGAATATATCTAATTTTTCTTTTGAGATGTAAAATGGGAGGCTATTTTTAAAACTTGCAATAATATACAGTATATACAATCACAGAATTCTTTTTAACGCAGGGAAAAGTTTTACCGCTGATATCAAGCCATTTGTTTGTAGCTGGAAGTTTAAGTTTACTAAATTCACTAGGGGGGTGTTTTTCAACCTCAAGAACTTTAGACTTCAACCCCCAGAATTCTCCAACCAGAATTTCTGGAGAATTCTGGGAGTTGAAATTCACAATTCGTGAAGTTCCCTGAGGTTGAGAAACACTGCACTAAGTAATACTCCTTTGAAAATTTTGTCTTTCTTTCTTATGGCAGGGTGAACCTGGTTCCCCTGGACGTCTGGGAGTGCCAGGGCTTCCAGGACGTGCCATTATAGGACCCAAGGTAACAAATGTATTTCATTAATTTTACAATATCTTTGCATGGACATTAATTAATTTTACAATATCTTTGCATGGGCATTTCCTAAGCATTCTAATGAACAAAAGATGGCCTAGAAGCAGAGGTGGGCTGCTGCTGGTTCACACTGATTCAGGCGAACTGGTAGTTAAGATTCTGCGCAGTTTGGCAAACTGGCAAATCCCACCACTGGCTTCTTTTTCTACCTGTTTTGGGGCCATTTTCAGGCCATTTTTTCGGCCAAAAATGGCCCGAAAACAGCCCAAAAAACGGCCTGAAACAGCCCAAAAACATTCTGAAAATGGCTTGAAAACAACCCAAAAATGACCCCAGAAAGGCTTGAAAGTGGCTGAAAAACAGGCCGAAAAATGGGTGGGAGCGGGGCCAGCCAGTGATGGGATTAACCCTAACCAGTGAATCCTACCTCTGCCTTTGAGGCAAGTGGCTGGGAGACCAGGCAGGGTGTGATGAGTGATGTCACCCACCCAGTCACATGACCAACCGGCCATGACTACCCAGCCAGAGAACCAGTTGTTAAAATATTTGCAGCCAATCACTGCCTAGACGAGCATATGCAGGACTGTTCTATTACACTCTTCCTATAGTTTTTATTGTAAAATAGGGACAGGGAACAAATTCGCCAGCTGGATCCAGTTTCCTTCTTTCCTGGCAGATTAGACAGTATCAGAAAATGAAACTTAAAAAAAGAAAGCTGAGCCAAGAGTAATTTTTCTTACAGTATCTTCTTTAACTGGATGTATTGAAATGAAAGGGATAGGGTTGCTAGAATTTCAGCACTGAACGATTTCCAGCTTAGAACCAATTTATAATTCTCCATATAGGTAGTCCTTGAGTTACGACTGTAATGGAGCCTGCCTAATAGAATCATAAATTTTATCAGTAGTAAAACAGGTGATTCTACACTTAAACTCAATTCTACAAAATTCTTTTTGCAGTGGTCGTTAAGCAGACGTGGTTATAAAACAACTGCTGCAGTTGTTCTTAGGTGACCACTATGGTCATTAAGCAAACCCATTATTCACTGTGGTGCTGTTTTGCTAAAAATTGTAGGCGCTGGTTTTCAGCAAAATTGTCATAAAACCCAGCCAGATGACCATGAAAGGCTACAAATGGCCATAAATGTGGCCATGTTACCAAACACCCAAAGCATAGTCAAGTGACTTGGTGGTGGTGGGGGCGTGTTGGAACTTTGACTCCACATCATAAGTCCCCTTTTTCAGGGAGGTAGATCATAACTTTAAACGCTCACTAAGCGACCAGTTGTAAATCGAGGACTACCTGTATTAGGCTAGAGACTCCTTCGGGTTCTAAGAACTTTCTTATGAATTAGCAAGATTCTTTTACAAAAGCATCCCCCGTGTCCTTATCCATCTATTAAGTGCCCACCTTAGCATAAGTATGTCCAGTGCATCCTATAGGAAGAATTCCCTCCTGCACTGAGAAAATCACTCGGTGTAGGACTAAGCAGTAAAAACATGGAGCAGTTTTGCCTACTATTCATTTTGCTCAAAGGAGAAAAGAATGGCCTCCCTTGAGGTTCTATTGCCAGGTGAGCTAGATTAGGAGTATAAATTTGAGGTCCTCACAGTGTCTGTTCTTGTTTTTCCTGATGAGGGTGGAAAAAGATGTAGTAGTTGATGTTCTAGCCCAAGATTGGGGAGACCAAGTGACTTTGAACCAATCACTCTAACCTAATCTTGAGGTTATAATTGGGAGGCAAACAGGAGGAAGTAGTTCTAGGTATGATGCCTTGAACTCTTGTCACAAAAGGCTTGTCATTAATCCAATAGATAGATGGAACAACAACAACAAAATCACCGTTTTTCTTGTAATTGAAGGGTGATATTGGATTACCTGGACCACCTGGACCAATTGGAGAGCAAGGGATAGGGATTCCTGGGGCTAAGGTAACAACCACATGGATAAATCAGTCCCTTTAAAGGGAAAGTGTTTTATGCAGTGTAACTGCAGCTACAATAACAGGTAAATATGTCCTTCTTTGCAAAAAGGGTGACCGTGGACACCCAGGACCTCCTGGTCCATTCGGCCCCAAAGGAGATGGCTATCCAGGCTTAACTGTAAGTAGTCAACCTATGCTGTTACTTAAAAAGAGAACATTGAACGGTGAATCACAGTAAGAAAGAGTAGGGATGGTATGCAATTCAGAACCATTAACCGTTAAATCTATTTACTTCCCTATACCAGGGTCTTCCTGGTCTTCCTGGAGCTCCTGGAGAGCCAGGCCCTGATGGGGTTGGATTACCTGGACCAAAGGTGTGCTTTATATCGTGTGATTATATGCATATATTAGATATATAGTCTAAATAGTGTTATATAAGATAAATTGTATGTATAAAGTATATATAAGAGGGAGGGAGGGAGGGGGAGAGGGAGAGAGAGAGAGAGAGAGAGAGAGAGAGAGAATGTGATAGGTTTGTTGTTATACAAAGTAAACAGCTGAGGCTGTATGCCAGGGGTCTCCAATCTTGGCAACTTTAAGACTTGTGGACTTCAATTCCCAGCTTTGCTGGCTGATAAATTCTGGGAATTGAAGTCCACAAGTCTTAAAGTTGCCAAGGCTGGAGCCCCCTGCTGTATGTTATTACCTTAATTTACTGTGCTAAAATGAGTTGGAAGTCAGTGCTTCTTTTTTCTTTTACTGTTTGCCCTAAACTTTTTTCTTCTTTCCTTTTTCCTCCCCTACTTTTCCGTTATTTTCATTTTCTTTGTGTTTTATATTTTGATCAAGTAATAAAATTTGTAAAGAAGTGTGAGAAAAGAGATTGGGCACATACATATATAATTTTTCTTTTCGGGCTGATTGCAATATGGACTTTCAAAAATCTTCACTGAATTATCACGTAACAGTTGTACAGCTTTTCATTCATTGGAAGGCTGTTGTCAGCAAACATATATTACTGGTAAAATTCCTAGTTATTAAATGCTACCTTTTTTTCCTGCAAGGATGGAATGTTATCATATGGAGTCAAGTTATTACATATGCCAATAGAAAAACAATACAGGTAGCCCTCAAGATAGGCCCATAATGGAGCCTGTCTGTAATGGCCCACGTCACAGCAGTTGTTAGGTGAAACACGTCACCTAACGACCTCTCCCATCTCTGCTCTTCCCAATGAAATGTTAAACTTATGTGCCATCACCAAACAGAGCATGGGGTGCCTCCTGGATGGGGGAGGCCGTGGGAGGCTTAGCAGAGGACCAGGCCCACCTGCCCTGGCCCTCCCAGGGCCTCCCTCACCCCTGAGATTCCCATGCTCCACTTCCCACATCTTGGGTCCCAACAACTCTTTGCCTGCTTACACCAGGTCCTCCTAGGCTTTAAGCCTGATTCCCACCCCAACAGGTCAAACATCCTTCTCCTCACTTAGCTCTTGAAAGCCTTCCAGAGTGCTAGAATGACTTCCTTCTTTGTGCAGCCACATGGCACGGTTCCAAAACTGGACTCCATTTTGTTCCTCCATGAAATGGTTGCCCTAGTCAGGGTGCCACCATGTTGCCCAGGGACAAATTACTTTGTTCTGCTGCTTCTGCAGCATTGTGGAGACCTCTCTAACTGCCGCAAAAGGAAGCAGTTTGTCTGGCAGCTGCCATTTTGTCTCCATCTACAAACAGGAGGGAAAACATGGGGGTGCATTTGGATCAGTGCCGCATAGCCCAGGGACACCTGGCCTGCCCTTCTTTCACAACATGAGGTCTGGGGTGGGGTGATATGGGTGTGTGTGGAGGAAGCCCAAGTGCTGCAGGATTCCTCCCTGGGGTGGAATGGTAGAAGAGAGGCAGGGTATGTGTGTACTGCAGTAACCCTGTGGTAGGTCATAAGGGCAAATGACAGCAGGGCCTCTGCAACCATTGTAACTTTGAATTGGGGTCATATGTTTTTGGAGGGTCTGCCATAATTTTGAATGTTCATTAAATGGCCTGTTATTCCTCAGGGATTATCTGTAATATAAATCCCGATATAAGTCAGTAACAACAATGGAAGTTATCCTGACTTCCGGTGGTGTTCTTGTCGATGGCGGATCAGAGACCGCGATCATACGCGGCTTTGATCCGTGCTTACTCTGTTGGAGGGGTCCTTAAAGTACTGGATCCATCTGACCCACATCATAGGGGTGGGAAGAAGAGGGGAAGACCGCCAGATGGGTTGAGGGGAGCCGCATCTCTCCTCCCTGGCTTGGTAAACTCCCCTAAAAGACAGGGAGAAGCGGCAGTCTTTAATGGCTGCCCTGAAGACAGGAAGCTGCCGGGACACAACGGCGTGTAACTGGATAAAAGACTTTGAATATTCTTTTTGAAAACCCCGAAAAAGCCGAAAAGAAGGAGCCCTCATTTGGAAGAGTGGTAGCAGTGAACGAGAAATAAGAGGAAAATATAAGGTAAAGAAAAAACCAGAAATAAAAGAATTATATACCATTAGAGACTAAATTTGGAACAACATATAGAATTGGACATTAATCAGGCTTTAGATAAAATGCTGGATTTATTTTGAACTGATAAAATTTAATATTAATACTACGGAAAAGTGATTTAAAATAAAAGAATTCTAAGAAGAAAGTGATATAGAGCACCACCTAAGGATTCAAGATTTCCTTCTTTTATGTTTCTATGGAAAACTATCAGTTGTATAAACAAGATCCCCGGAAGCTCATAAAAAAGAAGGGTGGGATTATAGTAAAATATAAAAGAATGCAATACTTTGGGATTGTTGGAAGTTGATTGTGATAAGAAAACAGAAGAAAGAGAAAGTGAGATAAATGGAGATTTTTGACACGGACTATAATAGAAAAACTTGATCTTTAATAAAATAAAGAATAACTTAATAGACCAAAGAAATGGAAGAAATAAGCAAAGAATTTAAATTGGAGCTCCAAACTGTGAGAGAGATGCTTAAAGAAAAAATGAGACTGGTCGAGATAATGCTGAGTAAAGTAATGGCGTCACAGCCTGCAGAAGAACAAAGGAGGCTCAGAGAGGATGAATTAAAAGAGGAAAATAACAGCCTTGATGAATATGAAGAACAAGGACCATTGTCAAAAGACATAAAAGGATTTAAAACAGAGACACTGACAACAGAGACAGCAAATAAAAGAGATAAGACACACAAGATTAAGAAGAAGAAGGGAATATACAAGAAGAAACTCCAAAAAAGAGAACTGAAAGGGGGTGGGGGGACATGGTTGACAGGCAGAGGGAAATAAAAAATAAAACCAGAAGGAAAAAAGAAGAAAGATTGGGGAAATTTAGAAAAGGGAAACCTAGCCAAAATTAAAAGGAATGTTAAAGTTACAAGATTTCAAGATAAGGGTTAGGGATTGTACAAGGGGGATACCACATGGGAATGTATATTGGCATTTAGTTTAAAACTTGCTGGAAATTATTTTAGGATTATATAACTATATATAACTATATATATATAACTATATATATATATATAACTATATATATATATAACTATAAAACTTTAAAAGAACTACAATGACGTGGGAAAATACCCGAACCAAGCCGAACACCATACATGTAAGTACCCGCGAAAACTTAAGAAAACAAATATCAAACCTCTACGGGGAGGAAATAAACAGCCAGATCAAAACCTACGAGAAACTGGAAATTAAAAGAGCAGGAATACTATGTGACCTCCAATTCCTACGCAGCTGCAGAGACAACAATACTACACCAACCTGCTTCAAATTAACATTTCATCAAAGCACAGCAGCCACTAAACGTATCCTGAAAAGAACTGAAATGGCTTTACTACGGAACGAGCTCCACAGTAAGAGATTCCGATTAGATCAGTTAAACAAAGATTTGCTAGCACTACACCTGGAACTGAGCAGCAAAATCCACCCTCTACTTTGGGACAAGATAAAAAAACTTACAACTTGGAGAGCTGATTCTGAAGGCATTTACAAACAGGAAAAATTATTGAAAAAATTAAAGAAATTAGAACATGACAAGAAAACCCCCAACAACTCACAACAACACCTGAAACAATTAGTGCACAACGTTTCCAACAGAGAACTCACCAAAACAGAAACAGATGTTCTAACCAAAGGATTCAATTATGCTATAGCACCCCAAAAAATCCCCACAGAATCCATCATATGTGCAGTAGAATCCAGCCTAACTAAATTAAATACAGATGAAGCTGATAAAATAAGACACCAAGTTACCAATATCCTATGCACAAGCAAGCCACCCAAAAGCAACTTACAGAAAAATGAAATTAAAGCACTACAAACCCTGAAAAGAGATAGCAGCATAATCATCCTCCCAGCAGACAAAGGAAATGCCACTGTAGTAATGGACAGAAAAGACTACGAAACAAAATTGACAGACCTACTCCAAGACTCCACATACAAACCCATAAACACAGACCCAACCACATATCTGGAAAAATTAACCAAGAAGAAAATTATAACCAGCCACATAAGCAAAGAGATCCAACACACGATTATACCCAGAGAGAAATCTTCCAGATGCCCCAAACTATACGGCCTCCCAAAAATACACAAAGAAGGCATACCTCTCAGACCCATAGTCAGCTCCAGAGGAGCACCACTACAAAACCTAGCCAAATACCTAGCAAAGCAGCTACAGCCCCATGCTGAAACAGCAGCTTCACATGTACAAAACTCATACCACTTCTTGGAAATGATCAAAGATCTACACGTGGAGCAAGAAGATCTGCTTGTAAGTTTTGACGTGGTTTCCCTATTCACTCAAGTCCCGATAAAAGAGACCCTTGAAATCATCAAAAATAAATACCAACCAGCCAAACACCTCATGGAACTAACAGAACACTGCTTAACCAACACATATTTCATATACAAAGGACAAAGATACAAACAAATAGAAGGAGCCCCCATGGGATCACCACTGTCACCTGTCATTGCTAACCTGTTCATGGAAGAATTCGAATCCAGAGCCCTGGCCAATGCCATCCTCAAACCCAAACTATGGTTAAGATACATCGATGACACATTCGTGATTTGGCCCCATGGACAAGAAAATCTAAACAATTTCCTAACACACCTAAACAGCGCACACCCCAAAATCAAGTTCACCATGGAAACAGAAACAAACAAACAACTACCATTCCTAGATGTACTAATCTACAAAAAAACAGATGGCACACTAGGACACACCATATACCAGAAGAAAACACACACCAACCGCTACCTCAACGCCCAATCCCACCACCACCCAGCACAGATAAACTCCGTGGCTAAAACACTAATTACCAGAACCAAACGCCTGGCAGACAAGACACACATTAAGGCTGAACTATGCACCCTGACTAAAGTACTGACAGCCAACGGCTTCCACAAAAGCAAAATCACCAGCTTGATCCACAAAAACACACTGAAACATAATAGAGACCCAGAAGATGAACAGACCTATGGAACAGCTGTCCTGCCCTACATAAGAGGTACTACAGACAAAATTAGTAAGGTACTACACAGACATCACATCAGGACTGCCTTCAAAACAGACAGAAAAATAGCAGCCATCCTTAGCAACCCCAAAGATAAAATTGACCTGGAAAACCAAGGCATATACGAAGTCCCCTGTGCATCATGCCCGGCCACATACATTGGACAGACCAATAGAAGCACTCACAAACAAAAAAATATCCACACCACAAGCCAGGCAAACACCTGGGCACAAACAGATCCCCCTGATACCTCCAGCTCAAACACACCCCAACCAGGCACCCAGATGAAACCCAGCTTCCTAACTAATGATAGCCGTCCATTTACCCGAAGCCAAGCTGCACTAAAGGCCTCCATTAAAGTAACACAATGCTGCCAGCCAATCAAGATACAAAAAGAGCCAAAAAACAGACAGAAGATATCAGAGACACCCATCAAGCAGAACACAGCAAACTCCGAGACCAATAAACACAGACCAAGACTCCCAACCAATCAGGATGAAGAAAAAACCATTCTGGCACAGCAATAGGCTGCCCCAAATTTAAATCTGAAACCACTGTAAAAGTCTGACCCACAGACGGACACAATACAGAAGCCTGATGATGGCAGATGAGATTCTGCTGAAACGTTGCTACAACTTTAAAAGAACTACAATGACGTGGGAAAATACCCGAACCAAGCCGAACACCATACATGTAAGTACCCGCGAAAACTTAAGAATATATAAAATATATAGACAAATTTTGGATAAGTGTTAAGGAAGAAAAAGTATGATTATTAATGATTATAAGAAAAGTGAAATGTATTAAACTATATAAATGTTGGCTAAGTAGAAAAGGGAAAAATATGATTATTAATGATTAAAAGAAAAGTCAAGATGAAATAAGATATATTAGGAAGTCATTCCAGCAATTCTATGGGGGGGGGGGGAATATCTTAAAATATACATGTTTTAAAATATACATTTGATTATTTAATGTTAATATGCTTAAAGTTGGGGAATGAATTATTAAATTAGATAGATTGAGGGGATATACCACGTGGATCCTAAATGTATTGGTTTTGTTTTATTCTTGCTTTTTTTAGATTGTTTATTATATAATTGGCCAAGGGAAAATTAAGGACAAGAATGATGTGTAATGTTAAATAAAATAGGTGGTAAGCTAAAAACGGAAATAATAGGGGATAAAGAACTGGGAATCTATATTTGGATGAAATGATATTGATATTGAATTAATGAATTGAAATATAAAATGGAAATTTATTTAAAAGATAAGCGAAATGGATAATGATATGAGATGATATTATATAAGATTGGTGGAAATGAAAATATGATTATGTATAAGTGTTTTAATCTGGAACCACGTTGCTCACGTAAAGAGATGTGTAAAAATTAAAAAATTAAAAACTTTTTGGAAAAAAACCCCAATGGAAGTTATCATGTAGACTGCAGGGGTGGGTGGGAGGGAGAGAGGCCACCTATTTCCTGACTTTGATTAAGTAAAACTGGCAAACGCCCTCACCATCCATTCTAGGAAATAAAAGTTCTTCAACAATTGGAGAGTTGTAGATCACCCCACAGTTAATACTAATTCTACAGATGGAAAAAGCAAATTGGTATAGAAATTGATTCAATATTGTACTGAAATTTTTTTGTTCCAAAAATTGAGATATGTGCAGAATAACACCTTCTTAGCAGAGATTCTTTTAAAGTGGATCATGTACCATCATTACCCACCTCTGTGTGTGTTTGTGTGTATGTGTATGTGATACTGCATACACATATTAACCAAAATGTTTAAGCACAGGTGATTGAAAATGCTACAGTGATCTAGTTCACTCTGTATCAGTAAACCATAAAAACATGAATAATAATGTATAAATTACAGTATATACTACCAGTAGTTAGGCTCACATCTCATTCTAGGCCAAAATGAAACAAATCATGCTATAATTTAGAATAATGCACAAACTGAGCCATAGATTCGAAAGACATATCTACTTTGTCTTGCTACATCCTTTACCTGTTTTGAGAAAAAGGTCTATGAATTGTATCTCACAAGTAAATTTGTATGATTAATACATTGCATCTACATCTGTTAACATCATCAAACAATATCTGCCTATCCCACGTCCTTTGGAGGGACATGATAGAAGGATAAAATGCCAAATCTAGTCTAAACATTTGGCCAAATGGGCAACCAACTATAATAATAATTATATGAGCCATGGTGGTACAGTGGTTAGAATGCAGTACTGCAGGCTACTCCTGCTGCCTGCTGACTGCCTATAATTTGGCAGTCCGAATCACACCTGGCTCAAGGTTGACTCAGCCTTCTGAAGATGGTAAAATGAGGACCCAGATTGTTAATGAAAATATGAAGACTCTGTAAACCGCTTAGAGAGGGCTGTAAAGCACTGTGAAGTGGTATATAAGTCTAAGTGCTATTGCTATTGCTGTATCTTGTGACAATATCTTTAAGGCCACCAAAGAACATCTGCTTGTTCCAGGTCCTTGATGGATAGATAAAAATGCCAAATCCAGTCTAAAATCTGACTAACTGTTCAACCAACAATAATAATTTGAAATGTTTACAAATATACATTTTAGGGTGATCCAGGTGCCAGAGGACCATCTGGTCTCCCAGGTCCAACAGGAGAAGGCCTTCCAGGACCAAAAGTAAGTCACAATAAAAAAAAAAATCGCATTGGACCATCACACATCAAAAATAATTATTATCTTCTCTATTTGTATGTAGCTAGTTTACTATTCATATTAATTTAAGAGGAATTAATATCATAGCTAATATTTTGTAAATTAAAAGGCAAAAGAAAATGAAAATTTACCAAAATGCAATTTAAATGGTAATAAAGATATATTGAAGCAAATATAAAAGTTTACCATTCTTGTTGCAAGACTCATTGAAATGTTACTTTTAGATTTGTTTTTATTTATTTATTTAGCAAATTTATATAGCTCCCAACTCATACATGGGTGAATCTAGGCAGTTTGCAAAATTTACAGAAATCATAGATAATTTCAGAAATCATAGTTTACTCCTGGGAAGTATTTTGAAATAAAATAGAAAGAATATAAAGAATAAAGTAGAGTTATATCAGGTTTTTGCAACTTTTTCACTAAGATACAAATCATTCAAGTTTCTTTAATGGAGCCACCATTTGTTGGAACAAGCTGGCCATTTTGCTGTGACTAGGATCAGATTGTCCTTTTGCCTTATAAATCAATCTTGGGCCACCTGTTACTAGGCAAGGTGTAGCAAGTAGGAATGCAACTTTAATCCATAATAATCATTGACATTAGTCAATGCTTAATCGTTGACATAGGTCACTTTTAAAAAAACCAGGTCTAAGTGAATAGCACACAAACTACTTCTGGTTAGAACAATCTAGAATAAAAAGATAAAATCTTCCTTGAATCGTGTTTGACCTCTGGTGGCTTCACATATACATCTACAGTATGTTGTATTCTAGGCAGCCATACAAAGGTGTACTGAATGTTACTGTTATCTTCTTGGATGTTTTTTCCTAATGTAGTCTATTGTTTATCCAATATGACTTGCTGTACATACAGTACATAGAACTGTCCTTTAAGGTAGCCATGTTGATTTGAAAAGAAGCAGCCCTAAGATATAAAATCAAGAGATACTTCTAGCATAAGTACAGTTAAAATTAAATTGTAAGATATATTGATTGCAAACAATAGAAATTTCATGGAGCTTCATGGTTCTTATACAGATTTTAGATAGCAGCAAAATGGAATGGTGGCATTTATGATTCCTTTAATGATGACTACACTTTTTTTTCCTCAGGGAAATATTGGACGACAAGGACCTCCTGGTGCTTTAGGCCCACCTGGTGAAGGTATACAAGGACCAAAGGTATCATGATTTCTTGGACACTTAGATATAATGAAGAGGAAAAAGCAGACTTCACAAACCAGAGAAAATAGGAATATATATTTTTTTCTTTATGTATTAAAAGGCCCTTCCGTTTGGAGGTAGAAGAGTTAATAAAAGAAATCAATTACAATTTGGTTTACATCATATTTAGCATTTGTATATTATAAAATCAATGTTTCTCATGCAAAATAAGGGCATATGAAGAATTAAGCCAATACAGATTAGAATATATTTTGGCAAATGTAGCAATGAATGCTTATGTATGCAAGAATAACCTGAATTTGTGAAAAATCTAATTTTTATTTGTTTTTCCAATCAAATTTAGAAAATAAGGTTGTATTTAATATATAATAAAATTGTCAACTGTTCTGTCAATTAATTATAATTAGGGTGAACAGGGAATTCAAGGAATGCCAGGACCACGTGGGCCTCCTGGAGAAGGACTTCTAGGACCAAAGGTATATGCTATACTTCTACTGTGTTATCAAGAGGCAACATGGGCATTTAATGCTCCCAAGCATTAATTTTCTTGACAAGGTTTTTCAGAAGTTTGTTTTTGTCTCCATTCTAATGCTGAGAGAAAATGACTAGCCCAAGGTCATCTAGCTGGTTTCATGCCTAACGGGGGAGTAGAATCACAGTTTCTCAGTTTTTAGCCTGACACCTTAACCAAATTGGCTCTCAACATGTCTTGGGAACTTCCTGGGAACTCTCCTATGCTTACCAATAATTGTGGCAATAAATACTTAGGCATTTAGAATGGGGAATTGTAAGCCAAGGATAGGCTTCCTAACGCCCATGATTACCAATATAATTCCAAATATTTCCCCTGGTGCTCACCTCATCTGACCTTGAAAAATAATCACTAAAATGGCAAAATATCAGCCTCAAGCATCCTATTGATTGAGGAAAAGCATTATTACAAAGAAAGAAAGAAAGAAAAATGAGCAGCTGCAATACCAGACAACTTGGACGTGAACTCATCTGCCCAGAAAAAGGCAAAAGGTCACAAGGTAATCCTTGGCTAATGACCACTCATTCAGTGATATTCAAAGTTACGATGGCACTGGGCAAGTGTAGTTATGACTGGTTCTCAAAGTTCCTACTGTTCTAGCAGCCCTGCTGAGGTCATGTGATTGCCATCAGGATGCTTGGCAACCGGTTCGCACTTAGGATGGTTGCAGCATCCCATGATCACATGACAGGAATTTACATTACATTTAAATAAGATGCTTTACAGATGTTGTATAACTAATTCAAAGGGTGATCGTGGAACTGCAGGAGAAAGAGGAAGAAAAGGCGAAAAGGGTAATATGGGAGACCCTGGAACAGCTGGAGAACCTGTAAGTACATAAACCCATCAGATGCTGCAGAGTATATTGCCAAAACTCTGCCTGTGCCTACATCTTAAGTATTAGCATTAGTTTCAAGCAAATAATGTAGCTTATAGAATAGGTACCGACTCTTCTTTTAAGGGTCCAGAACAATTCTTAAGAAGAATACAGGAAATCCTCGATTTACAATCATTCATTTAGCAACTATGTGAAGTTACAAAGGCACTGAAAAAAATGTGACTGACAAACAGTCCTCACTTTTATGACCATCCTAGGATCTCCATTGTGAAGCAATCAAAATTTGGGCATTTGGCAATCAACATGCATTTATGACAGTTGCTGTATCCCAGGTCATGTGACTGCCATTTGCAGTCTTCCCAGCCAGTTTCTGACAAGTGAAGTCAATGGTGGGGGTGGGGGGGAGTTGGATTTGCTTATTGACCATGTCATGTACATAACAACTGAAATGATTTGCTTAATAACCATGGAACAAAGGTCATAAAACTGAGTACAACTAATAACTACCTTGCTTAGCAATGGAAATTCTGGTCCCAACTGTGGGGATAAGTTGAAGAGTACCTGTAATTTGACTAGATTAACTTCCTGAATGATAGTTCCATCTGGAAAATTTGGGTTGGAATATCTGTGGTTCAACACCAGAAGCACAATTATAAATTCCTAATATTTCAAATAAAATTAAAATAGATAATTGTGACTTTCCGAACATTTTATCAGTGGGCTCTTTGGCGCTCTCTGAACTTGATTGTTTTCTTGCAGACAATTCATTACCAAGCTTACATCAATGCTAGAAGGGAGTAGGGTTTACTTTCTTTTTATATACTAGTGACTTGCGCTGTCAATGTTAGGGCTCTTAGAGGTTTGTTAATTAGGCTGTTGTATACTCTTAGCTTGTTGGTAGTCCCTTGATTTGAGTATTGTTTACTTCTTGATTAATGGTCTAGTGTTAATCTCTGCTTATCTCAGTATTGATTGATGGTGAGGAGGTATTTCAGTCTCTTTGTTTCTTTGGTTCCCCCCACTTTTTTTTCTTTTTGATTGTCTCTTGCATGGTATGTAGATGTTGTTTATCTCTCTGTTCCTGTTAATGACCAATTTGACTAAGTGCCAGGCTTCCATGAACTGTTTAGCATTTTTGGATTTGGCTTGGTCTAGAATGCTCACAGTTTCCCAGTTGAAACTATGGTTCAGTCTGGCCATGTGTTGTGAAATTGAATTTTCATCCCACTGATGATGTTAGCTAGTTTGGTAATGAAATGTCTGCAAGAAAACAACCAAGTTCAGAGAGTATCAAGGACCCTACAGTTGAATCTTGAGCTACAAATATTCTCTTCTATTAGAAACAATTCATCTTATGTCAACATATATTGCCAGACTGCATTTTGCAGTCATGGGATTGCTTCCGGCAAAAGGAATAGAATTACTCTGTTTAGGAGGCATGTGCCATTATTAGGAGGTTCTAAATTTGACACTTAAGGACAAGCAATGGGAGAATCTTTTTCATCAGTAAAGTAGCTGAAAATATCTCTCCCTTTGACTAGGCTGGAGACATGGAAAATATCTTTGGGGACTCTCAGATCTTTTCCAAGCATAGGTTCCTATAATTATATGTGCACTGATTCATCAAACCTTAATGATGAATTAGAAATAATAATAAAAAAAATTCCTTTTCAGGGTAGAACTGGACCCAAGGGAGAACAAGGTCTAACGGTAAGCAATCTTTTTCAGAATCAAGTTTAGTTATGCTGTATTGTTCTCAATTAATGTGCTCCTAGTAATAATTATGAAATAATTATGAATTATGAATTATTAATCATTTAGCAAGTCATATACATGTGCCTTTTTAAACAATTTAGATATCTTGCACTGGTATCCATTTTACATATATCTAAATTGTTTAAAAATGCATCTGTAATTTTTACGCAAGTGGAAGAAAAAGGGCACAGAAGATACCCCTCTGCCTTTTAAAGACTGTTTCAGTTATTTATTTCCAATGATTTATTTTATAGGTTCTGAGCACCTTAACAACAGTTTTTTTAAAACTTAGTATTTCTGTCTGTAAGGGGTTCACATGATAAAAATTTAAGACAATCAAATTATTTTGGGACTAAGAGTCACCAAATAAAATAAAAATATATATACTGTAAATGTAATCGCTTTTCCTTCCTCCCTTCCTTCCTTCCTCTTCCCTCCCTCCCTCCTCTACAACTAGTAGACCCTTAAAACACCAAACAATGTGTGTGTGTGTAGGTATATATAATATGTATGTATGAACATGGATGTACAAACAGAAACAGGTCTGTTTACCCAAGTAAAATGTTGCAGAATTGGTTAGAATGCATGTTTCCTAGGGCTTTGTTTTAGATGTAATGGCACTAGTTATGCTGGAGTTCTTTGTAAAGATTAAATGGAGTTTCAGTGTGTTCCACTCTGATTTAGGGAAAAGGATATTAGTTGCTTGGATTACTTTATTTTCAATATCCACCAACTAGACGATGCTCTGCCTGGAAATGAATGAAAAATTGTCTAGTAGTAATTATGCATATATATAAATTTGTTCACAAGTTACAAATTATAGCAGTTGGCAGCTTGTAGCCAACCTTGGCTATGAGACACAGAGAGAATTGGCTTTCCCCACCCAGTAATAATCCCCCATACTTGATCTAAATGTTCAGTTACATACCTGGAGAATTGAAGTAAAATGTTTTTTTGAGTAGCCATATGTTGCTTGGCTATTGTAAAATAATTGTTGGTGAAATGCAAGAAGATCAGCTATTTCCTCACACAGAAATATTTTATTTGAGGAATTTTAAGATATTGCATCATTTTGGAATTATATTATTCTATATAAGAACAATGTTGCTTATGTGACTAAGAGTACTTTGCAAGCATTTTAAGTATTGGTGATGAATAAGATGACATTCACTGCATGAGAATATGAGATTATTCTAGGTATAATAAATACTATTTTTATGTAGTTTTTCCAAAGGCCATGTTATAAATTGCTGAAACAATTTTGTAATACTATATGTGTATTTCTTTTCTAACATAGAGAGAAGATATAATTAAGTTAATTAAAGAGATATGTGGTAAGTTTGCAACCTGTCTTGCCATCATAACCTCAGACAGGTTCTTATTCTTTTCCCCAAATTGGAAAATTATTAGAATATTCTTTACTCAAAGATAAAATGAAAATGCCAATAATCAGGTTACTCCTGTGGAATCAGAATAGCATTGAAGACTTGGGTTTTCCCCCAAGCACAGGGATAGGGAGGGGTGGTTAGAGAGGATTTAATGTGGGACTGTATGTGTGATGAAATGTGTCTATGAAGGGAGGGGTAGTGGGATGGACTACAGTGAAGCAGCGCTTTCATAAAAAGCAGGAAGCACATTCCAAGGAGGAGGATGAGATAAGAGGCAGCTCAGCCCAGAGCTGGATACGAAACGGAAGGAGAGAGTCAGAATAGTGATTCCCAAAAATCTTTCAGGGTAGATGCCTTAGAATGAGAGTAGTAAAAGTTTAGTCTGCAAAATTCTGTCTATTGAGGGTAAGCAAATAAAGAACTGAATGTTGGCATGGTTATATGTGGTTCTTTGGCTGGGGCTAATGGTATGTTGGAAATGTAACATTGGTTCCAGGTTTTTAATATTTATGGTTTTAATAGATTTAATATAGTATTATGTTGTTTTATTATTGATACTGTTTTGATTGAGAGCTACCCAGGGTTCAAAATCAGAAGGAGGCGATATAAATGTTTTGAGTAAATAAAATAAAAATATTGTTTGAATTAAAATTGTAATAATGCTCATGTTCAGTGCACATGGAAAGATTTATATAGTTTGATCTTTCAGTAAAAAAATATTCCAAATTTAGTTGTTGTTTTTTAATTCTTTTTACAGGTTGTGGCATTAAATGCAAGGAAATACCTATGGAGCTAGTGTTCGTGATCGACAGTTCTGAAAGTGTTGGCCCAGAGAATTTTGAGATAATCAAAGACTTTGTTACTGCCTTAGTGGACAGAGTAACTGTAGGGAGAAATGCTACTAGAATTGGACTTGTTCTCTACAGCCTGGAAGTTCGGCTTGAATTTGGGCTGAATAGGTACACAGCTCAACAGGATGTGAAACAAGCTATCAGAAAGATGTTATACATGGGAGAAGGCACTTACACAGGAACTGCCATCCGCAAAGCAACCCAAGAAGGCTTTTTCGGGGCTCGAACTGGTGTAAGGAAAGTTGCCATAGTCCTAACCGATGGGCAAGCCGATAAGAGAGAAGCTGTTAAGCTGGATATTGCTGTCCGAGAAGCTCATGCAGCCAACATAGAAATGTATGCAATTGGAATTGTAAATACTTCAGACCCAACACAAGTTGAGTTCTTACGTGAGCTGAATCTAATTGCATCTGATCCAGACAGAGAACATATGTATCTTATTGATGATTTTAATACTCTTCCAGGTGAGCATTTAAACATGGTTCTGAAGATTCCATTGATATATAGTGGATATCACATTCCACTTGTACCCTTCAAGCTAAAAGGTCTTGGTTCTGTGTTTTGGTGAGACCAGTCAATGGGTATCTTTGTAATGATTAAGATCCCAAAACAATCAGAGTGCAAATAGAGAATACTACTAGGAAAAAATACATCATTTTTAATGTTATCATTGCAAACTATGATATGTATATTTTTACGTGTGTTACCTACCATTCTAGACTAGTATATGATCATAGATTAAGGCTATTGCCAATAGGAGTCACAAAAACACCATTTGAATAACATAAAATAACATACAGTAGCTTTTGCTGTATGAATACTGCTAGAGATAATCAGAAGTTACATGCAACATTTACAATTCTGATCATTTTTGTTAAGGGTGAACCAAAGTGGATCTATCCTTAAGAAGATTACAAAACTTGAGAAAAAATTTTTTTAATTGCATGGTATACCCACCTATTATATCTGTATTTATAACCACCACAAGAAGGTAATGGATGAACCAACATGTTAATGGTTGGTAATGGTGATGGTAACCTAAAATTTAATGTTCATTCTGTAATGCTCATTACATCAGAGAACTTTACCTTTTTCTCAAAGGATAACTTAAAAGGTCACAAGTTTGCCTAGTGCTTTAGCTAATCCTAACTCTCAACAATCAACTATTTTTCTTTTATGAAAAATGTGCTACTGGAAATATTTTTGCTAGAAATCATTACCCCTACTGTCAGTGTTCTCCTACTCAAGATATTTGGAATTTACAGTCAATGGTAAAATATTTTACATTCTGAAGTAGCACTTCTGTTTCGGCTCTTCATTCTGTAAGGCAAGAGAGACCAATATAAATATTTTGGAGAACAATTTTTGTCAGCCAGCATGGAAAAAATCAGAAATATTAGGAATTATAGTAGAAAATACCTTGAGAATACAAAATTGTTTATTTCTTCTTTGGTACACATGCTGATATCTAGGATTTTCCTAACTGATATACAATATTGGTAAGAGGTTACACGCTAAGATGTGAAAGTAATATTCCAAGAGCTATCTACACATCAAAGAAGCAGTCAACACTTTAAAAAAATAATTGATTTACATTCAAAATACTATGAATATTTGTATTACTTAGTCAATAGTTGTATATTTTACCATATTTTAGACTTTTCCTTTTCTTCTTATTTTATAGCTTTAGAGTCCAAACTTGTTAACCAGTTTTGTGAGGATGAACATGGTGCCTTAATATATAACCGAGTTGGAAATGGAGGAAGCATCAGTGGATCATTGATTCATTCAGTATCTTCTCACTCTTCACAACATTTATTACACATGAACAATAAGAATGGACAAGCAGTATCTTCAAGCACATATGAAGCATCAATGAAAGACAATTCCATAAACACTGGCCAGTTTTCTCAACCATTAATTCTGGTACTTGTCTGAAGTCCACTTTATTTTTAAAAAACCCCTACAGTAATGGGGTGGATTTCCTTAAAACTCTGTTAGAGAAACATGGCTTTGCAGTCCATTTTTTAAATCAGAGTATTTTTAATAAGTGTCTGGGTTAGTTGCTAGATAATGCTGATGATGGGTTTTACAATTGATTCTAATAATATAAATAATATTTAGTAAAATAATAATCTGATTTCTGAAATGATATTGTTTGATATTATCTGATTGTATTCAGATAATTTCTTAAGCTGGAAACACAGAGCCATGGTGTGGTTTCGGGCACGAAAATAATAGTGATGGAAGAAGTCTGTTTACCATTATCTAATATTGAATATGTCCTTTGTGGATAGAAACTCCACCTACATTTTAAAATTAACCAATCTGGATTTACTTTAGGAAAAAGGATCACACAGAATATTTCTTAAGAACCATGACATGGTATCCAACAAAAGTGATGTTCCAGTCTTGCTTCCAGTTAACGGTAAAGGTACTTATTTCATAGTTAATTTCTTAATGAAATATGTGCCACACAGGTAGAAGAAATCCTCCCTTTTCTCATTTCTTTCTTTTATAATATTCTCTGCACTAGTTACTTCGGCACTGCCATTGCCAACATCTTCACCACCACCATCATCCCTGCCATCTCTAACAGCAGAAAAGACACTGCCACCATCTCATTCATCCGTTTCTTCCATGCCATCTACCGTCAAGACAGGTCTTTACATATTGCAAAGTTTCACATGTGGTTTTTTTCTCTGTATAATCATAAACATATAGTATTGTACATACATTCTAATTAATTATAATTTAATGCTCAAGTCCTTGACTTCCCCAATAAGATGACCTTCAAATCTGTTTGGATTTCAACTTCTGCACTTTCTAGCTTGCTGAACCACCGTGATAGCTCTTTGCATTTAATTGGGGGGTGGGGTTACTTCTTTTTTTATGCCAAACTTCCTCACAAAATATCATTTTCTCCAAAACTGCAAAACTTCTGGGAAGCAGATGCAAGTCTATGGCCCTGTCTCATTCATCTTTGCAGTTTGTGCTCATGTTTTCTACGGTAGCTGAGGAATTCTGAGAGGTGAAATCAACATATCTTAGAATTGCCAAGGTTGAGAAACAGTGCTATAAAATTATTTGGGAATATTAAAGTGATTTCTAAATTGCAGCCATATTATTCCAATAATACACAACAATTACATCTTTTGTTGTTTTTATTTTTTTTAAAGTGAATATCCTGAGGCCTCCGCAGTGTCAGTTAAGATTAGATCAAGGACCATGCCGCGTTTATATAATAAAATGGTATTATGATAAGCAAGCTGATTCTTGTGCTCAGTTTTGGTATGGTGGCTGCAATGGGAATGATAATCGCTTTGATAGAGAAGAAGACTGTAAAAAGACATGCGTACTTTTCTCTGGAGGTAAGAATTAACTATTGTTTTTACAATTTAAGATTCATGTTTCTTGTCCTTTGGGGAAACCAATTCTGATCAAATTCAGTTTTTCAAAAGTTGAAATTTGGTAATAAGAGATCTCATACATATTTTTTCCCCCTACGAGAGCAGAGTTTCAGCGGAAAACTGAAAAATTAAGCTTAGCCATAAAATATTAAATTATTGGGTTCTAATTTAACACAGGTCGTCATCCATACTGTGTCAATGGCGTATCTTTAGGGTTTAGATTTTTGTTTTTGTGTCTTGAACCAGTGTTCATTCTTTCACCTTCTATCAGTGGTTATTAAACTGGGGGTAATGCCCATTTTCCTTCCTATCCCAAGTGCTTCTTTGAATTCATCTGTTACATTAAATCTCAAGTTCCTCTAGGAAAGAGGTACCCAGACAGAAATGCAAGTAACTAAAGTGTCATAAGTATACTAAGTTTGACCATAAGACAGAAAAAAAAAATCTAAAATCTATAGTCATGCCAAACTTCTTCAGGTTTTCCAGGTTCAAGAATTCCTCATCAGGAAAATGGGTTTAGCAGGAAAAAGGGGGGGAAGTGTATGATTCAGTCTCTGTCAAATTTGTTTTTAAAGGTGTTGAGGAAGAAAAGCACATTGTATTTTAACAGGTATGGAATAGTTTTAGATTGTGATGTAGTTTCTCCCAAAGGTTGCTAGAAGAAGCAAATATATTTGTAAAATCCTTCATCTTGGAAATAAAATTTCTAATTACTAAAGTTCCAATAAGGAACAATTTGAAAACACTACCTAAATATTTGTCACTATTTATTGACAGTTGACTTTCTTTTGCTCAACAATATAACATAATATGACATTTATTTTGCAGATGCCTAAAGATTGCCCACCAAACAGAATGGAACAGAAAAGACTTTTTAATCAGAAGAAAAGTGGTATAAAGAATATCAAGGGTTTTCTTTATACAGTGTACTTAATTCATATGAGGATTTTATCCTCAAACCACTTATTCTGATGTACTCCTACTAAAATCTACAATAAAGGTTTTTTTAAAAAAAAAACTTCAGAAACTATGACAATACCAGCAGATAATGTTAAAGTATGTATTGGAATTATACAGATTTTCTTTGGGTCTAGAACAATATTCATGCTTTGTTAATTGCAAAGAAAGCATGTACCTCTGTCATTCAAACTGGCATTCCTGTGGGACAAAAGTTTCTACAACTGTTGCTTGTTTATTTGAACTCTGCTGCATTCCTAGTTCAAATGATTTATAATGTTCCTGGAGAAGAGGAATAGAATCAGATACTTCACTTGCCTGAGAATGAACAGAAGTTACTAAGATGAATCCCAGCGTAATTCAAGTAAAGAAAAATCCTTGAGTGCATTGTCAGTTGTCATGGAAAAATCATTGATATGGTGCTGGATGTTTGAGACTCTACTCTGTTGATTGGAAGGAAGAAGGATGGATATAAGCCCAGCTGCTAAGCTAGAAACAAAGCAATTGATGCTATTGATAAAGCAGTTGATGATTTGCAATAATGTAGAATGGGATGACATACTTCTGTTACATGAATGGATTTGGGGAATCCGGTAACATCAGTGGCCTGATATGTACCTGCATTGGTGTAAATAGGCTTGTACTCAGTTTTTTCCAGGAAGTTTCAAATAACTGGAAATGGGACTACTTAAGGGAAAAGATCATATTGCCTTTTCAGAAACACTTGCAGAAGTAAGATTCGCACTAGAGGAAAAATTAGCATATAAATCATGCATTTAATACAAGTATATTCCAGGTCCCACCAGCTATTCATCTAATTGGCCATGGAGGTCTTTGCTTTCCAAGTCTGAAAGCCAACCGGAATAATGTATACTGACAGATGAGAAGGATAAAATCTTGTGATAATTGGAAGCTAGAACATTGAAATGTTGTGAGAGTTGACTAATTAGTATTTACAAAAAAATATTATCATTGTTAGTTTTTGTGTCCATGTTATCATGCACAACCATATGATGGTGGCCAGTATCTGAAAATTGCTAGCATCTGCCCTGAAACAAACTCAATCATCACTAGATTATGATTTAATCTAACAGCTGATTTTAGTTAATCTGTGACTGACAATAAAGTAAAATAAATTGCAATGATACCTTAGTGAAGATAGTGCCTACTTTGAAAAACTATTTATCATATAATTATTATCATCATAATTATTAACATGTAGTAAGAAATATATTATTTTTTTACAAGATACACCTACACAGTGTCAAAAATGTATTAGTTTCTTTCATGGAAATATAGTCATAATCCTTTTCATTTGTTTTTAGTTTAACATGATATGCAAATCTATCTGTCTATGCTATGTACTATGTAAATCAGGTCACACTGGCTTTTTCAAAGTGTAGTTTAATAGTTGTGCTTACATTTACAAATCACCATCAGTATATACTACAGAATTAAATATATACTACAGAATTAATAAATAACTTTAACATGCTTGTAATTCCTACCATAATTCAAAATATCTATTTTAAATGAAAAGGTCAAATAATGCTGTTCCAGTTAGCATTAGATAGTTCAACTCTAAAACTATTTCTAAATGTTCAAAACCCAATTTCAGATGCTGGTTTACATGGCAGGTGACAGATTAATACAAATGTTTACAATAGGATGTTGAATTTGGTTCTGCCACATGCCAGTTGTTGAAAGACTTGTTTCTGCTCTATTTTATGGTATACTCATTTATTTTCAGTAAATGTCTGAAATGTATTTTTGTTGAGTTGAATATATACTAACATTTTTTTTGTAAATGGACTACTTGTACTTTTATTTCATCAGCCAGAACTTTTTCACTGTTGTAGGAAAATGAATATCATTGATATTCATTTCATCTCTTGAATTAAAGCCAATGTATTTTTTTCATCATTTTCAGGAAGAAGATATTTATGCTTTTGCAAAACTAAGAAAAATAAGAATATAGCCATTTTTTTGAAGAACTGTATATGGTCAGAAATCACTTACTCAGTTTACAGACATGTCTTTTTACAGTGAGACAAGGAAAAGAACTCCCTGCTCTGTTGAATAAAGATTAAGGCTGCAATTTATTTGTGTAAAAGGGGATTTCCTTAGAGTTGAACTCAACCACTGGTAACTTCACAAACATATTATTTTAGTTTGCTCACCACAAATACAAAGCTGTTTGCTATTACTTTCTTTCAGTTTTCTTTTAATTTGTCAATCCAGTCTATAACTCATATTTATTTATGATCTTGCATTCAAATACAGTACTAACCAGATCTAATCTTAGTGTCCCAAAATCAAGCAGATGCTGCCATCTAACACTTTCTTTCATACTCAGTAAGATATTTAAAGTTGGACATAATGTAAACAATAATTAAGATAATATGCATTTAATGTATTTGTACACCTATTTAAAGAATAGAATTCTGGCAGTCGTAATTTTGATAACTAAAGCTAATTTTTAAAGCTACAGGGTCAGAGACCTTTGTCATAGTAACATACCAAATCTGAATTTTGCCAGTTTTAAAACAGTGGTTTTCTTCCAATATTTTTTTCCATGAGAACTATTAAATTCTAAATTAAAACAACTATACATTAAAAGTGTAAAATTTTAAAATGAGTCATAAAATCTAAATTAGCAGCTAAGATTGCAACCTTTAAGCCAAAATGAAATAAATCTGACCTGTGAACAAATTCCTCTAATTGCATTAAAACCGACTATTCCTCTTAGGGCTGGTTTCTGCTACAACTGACTTTTCGAACTCGGTCTGAAGTAGGAGTTTCGCCCCGCTTTTTGCTGTTTCTCAATGATGCAAGAAGTTTGCTTTATAAAATTGGGAAGATAAGAATTGGGACGTAACAAGGCAGTGGACCGTCTTTTGTTTGGTCAGAGTCCCTGGAAGTCGGGCAGCCAATAAATGTAAATCACTAACATTAATAACCTTTCCCGAAATAATTGAGAACCTTCCCTCCTGCATTAGAACTATACGACTTTAATTATTCCAAGCCAGCTGCAAATGGACTATGGGTGCCGTAGCCTTAATACATGTGGAAAGGAGCAGGTCAAGAAAACGCGTCCTGAGGGATCATCGTCGCTTTTGAGCCGAACTAGCGCCCTCTAGCCTCTCCCGCGGGTTTTCAAACGCGCTGAGGAAGTTTGTCCTTCGCCGGTGCCCGTCGGGAAGCTGGAGTCCGGAACGCAGAGGTACAGTTGATGGTTGTCATGGCGGCGGCTGCAACCGCGGATTCGCTGTGGGAGGACCGAGATGTTCGCTTTGACATCTCTTCGCAGTGAGTGAGGTGGCGCGAGCGCGTCCCCGCCCCTCTCGCCTCTCCCTCGCGGGTCGGAAGGGTCTGGCTTGACGGGAGTGGCGGTTCAACGGGCGGGGGCTTCTGAGCCCAGGAGCCCGTTCCCCGAGCAGCCTTTGCGGGATACTTGTTGTCTTCCTCCTCCCGCTGCCCCCATGGGGATGGCCGGTCCTCACAATGGACCTCGACCCTCCCCATCCACGGGGTTTCAAATCCCAATCTAAGGGACTTAATTCGTTCCTGTCAACCCTATGGCGTGGGGGCCACAGGTAGTCCTCCTGGATTTAAGAACTGTTCATTTAGTGACCAAAGCTACTAACAGCACTGAAAAAAAAAGGGACCGATGACCATTTTTCACACTTATGACCGTTGCAAGCATCCCCCTGGTCACGTGATTTACATTTGGCTGCTTGACAACTGACTCACATTTATGATGGTTGCAGTGTCCCCGCAGTGTCCCCTTTTGCGACCTTCTGATCAGCAAAGTCAATGGGGAAGACAGATTCACTTAACATCTGTGTTACTAATTTAACAACTGCAGTGATTCACTTAACAAATGTGGCAAAAATAAGTCGTAACGACGGGGGCAAACTTAACAAACATATCACTTAACAACATAAATTTCGGGTTCAATTGTGGTCATAAGTTGAGGACTACCTGTATTTGTATTTACGACCGCAATTGAGCCCAAAATTTCCATTGCTAAGTGCAACATTTGTTAAGTGAATTTTGCCCCATGTTACGATCTTTCTTGCCGCAGTTACGTGAATCACTGCAGTTGTTACGTTAGTCATTGTTACATTAGTTGTTATGTTACGGTTGTTAAGTGAATTGGGCTTTCCCGATTCGGGAATTGTGTCGGAAGGTCACAAAAAGGGATCATATGATCCAGGACCCTGCAACTGTCATAAATAAGAGCCAGTTGCAAAGTATTTGAATTTTGATCACATGATCATGGGGTGTGTGTGTTGTAACGGTCGTAAGTATGAAAAAGTCATAAGTCACTTTTTTCCTGTGCTGTTATAACTTTGAATCCACTGAACAAATTGTTATAAATCAAGGAATATTTGTAGGTTGCCATTACCAAGGACCCAAGGTTACTCATGCCCAGTGCAAGACTAGAACATATCATCTCCCATATTCTAGCCCAGGGTCGCCAACCTTTTGGACTTCAGGAACCACCAAACTCAAAATTTTAAATCCCGCGGACCACTAATATGAATTTTGACTGAAGGTGGCTTGCTGACGTTGGTGGGAAAGTTGGTCCCATATTCCAGAGCTGCAGTAGTCACATGACTGGCCCTTTGGTCATCCTAGAGCAGCTCATCCATGGCAGGCCAGTGCACAGACCAGTCTTGTGACTACTGCAGTTCTGGAATATGGGACCAACTTTCCCACCAACATCAGCAAGCCACCCCGGAGCAGAATTCCCTCCCCCACCGTTGGTCTTACCTTCCAGTTCCAGCTTGCGTGGCTCTACTCTACTTTGATTGAATCAAAATTAAAAAAATTAATAACATAATTCAAAAGCTGTCTTCTGTTTTGAGCTTAA